AAAACAATGGTATGTTTCCATTTTATACTCTTTTACTCTTCAAGAAAGGTAGATTAAGCTTGCATTTGGTTTTTTAGGGAAAGCATGTAGAACAAAGAGAGTGCTCTAACGAACAGGCCAGTGATGAAGTTCGTTGTGACTCTGAGGAGTGCGAAAATATTAGTCAAAACACAATGGTATGTTTGCGAGTTTTTCATACTCTTTTAGTCTTTAACTGAGAAAAGTAAATTAAGCATACATTTGGTTTTCAGGTACATTTATTTCGACATTGGATGAACAATCCGCCAAGAATGCATCAGCTTACTCGGTGGATGTTACTTCCAATGTTAACATTAATGTTTGCTTTGCAAAATTTTGTAAACAACGTAATCTGTCGGATTCGATAGAAGAATGGAAGTACAACATTGTAGGCTCGTGTTTCTTAATTAGAGCCGTTTAATGGTTTTTTTACAACCTTTCATACAGCGCTCTGCTATTTCCCTACATGCGTCCGAGGCGGAGAGCAAGGGCGAACATACTGCTCATACCAGCTATGAAAGGTAAGAGATTTCATGGTCGATATTTTCACTGATTTTACCGGATAGCTGGAGAGAGTCGGATTGTCTAGCCAAAGGGTAGATCGTGCGAATGCTTGGTGACAAATAAGCGTTACTATGATGATTTTTTAAAAAAAATAACCATGGTGATAGACATTAAGTTTTGCGTGAAAAGTAAAAACCAAAAAACAGTTCTTTCTTTCAAACGAATAGACTAAAAAAAAAAACGCATCCTCTTTTTCTTGTTTACTTTCACAGTGGTGTCAAACAGAGTACCTTGAATCCTCTAGCAAGACAGTTTCATCCTTCATGTCAGGTATGAAATTCCACTTTCAGTAGATGGTTAGATTTGTTTGTAATTGATTTTGTTTTTCCTGCAGGCAACTCATTTTTTTTGCAAAAAACAGCGCACCTTGAATCCTCTGGCAAGAGAGTTTCGTCCTTCATGTCAGGTATGAAATTCCACTTTCAATAGATGGTTACATTCGTTTGTAATTGATTTTGTTTTTCCTGGAGGCAACTAATTTTTTTTTTCTATCTAATAAAAGAAAACAAATTCCGTTATCAATTCTCGTCTCTTCACAATGATTAGAATTTGCCATATTGTTTCACGATCATTTAAGAATTTGAATTCTAGATGTGATTGAGAAGGGATGATATCCTTAGAAGCTTTTTGTTAAAAAACCATCTCTACAGACTATTTGTTCAAAGAAAGTAGGGCAACCCAAAGATAAATCTCAAATGTTTAAACGTTACGACGAGCCACCAGCCCAAGGGCGGCGACGGAAGCGGTCATGCGGTCCTCCAAAAATGCTTGGGGTGGAGGCACCTCCTTGGAGCCATCCCCCGCCAAGCCATCTCCCGCCAAGATTCCCTCCCAGTCCACCAAGTAAGTACTGAGCACAAACTTATCGTAGCAGCTTAAGATCATACGCACTAACAATCTAGTGAATCATATTCTATATGGCTTCTCATTTGTCAATACAATATAATTGGTAGTCTAGACAGTAAAATACAGTTTGGTGAAACTTGGTGATTCAACGGAATGGAGAACTTTCAAGTGCAACACCGTGCAGAGCAAAGCAAGGAAAAGCTTTTCAGTTCAACTCAGGAGAGAGGGACGCAACTATATTTATTACAACTTAACTCAGCGACGCGGAAGGCAATGCAAGGCAGCTGTTTTCATTTCAATAAAAGATATCTAAATGTAGTGTCATGCAATTCCCTTACTCAACGTAATTCATGTTCAGAGCTACTAAGCCAATACGCGATACAGTGGACACGGTGAAATATAGTGCAAACAACACCACTGCGCCCATAACGCTAACTAGGACGGTGCGGCGTCAGTTCGCAATTTACTAATACATATGCATAATACAGCAGAATGCGAGGATATAGCAATGCTAAACCCTTTCAATGCATTGTTAGAGCAGAGGTCGATGAAACACGATTTGACGGACAGCAAGGAAATGGAGCACAGCTAACACAAAGCAAAGCAAAGTACTTGATACTTTGCCATTAGTGACTAGAAAAAAATGTTCTTTCTTTTATAGGGAGACACTACAGATCGGAAACACCAGGAGTAGCACCATGGCTGCAGCCATCTGTCCCAAACAGCTGGCCGACTCCACCACAGATGAACATTATGCTCAATGCTTGGCCAAATACCAACAGGTGCTGCACGGACCAAGTAAGCGGTTTACTTGCAGAGCAGAATCCCAGTAATGGCAGTACTATGAGGCCTATGCCAGGAGTACTGCCATGGCCACCGCCCTTTGCTTCCAACACTCGGCCAACTCCGTCACTAATGAACGTTGAGCCTAACACATGGCCAAATAATAGGAATCCAGATGCGTATAATCCTGTGGAGCAATCACAAGGAGTAGCACCATGGCCGTGGCCATCTGTCCCAAACTACTGGCCGACTCTTCAACCGATAAACATTATGCCGCCCAATGCTTGGCCAAATGCCAACATGGCTCGCACGGACCAAGTAAATGGTTTACCTGCAGTGCAGAATCCCAGTAATGGCAGTCCTATCAGGCCTATGCCAGGAGTGTTGCCATGGCCACCGCCCTTTGCTTCCAACACCTGGCCAACTCCGTCACTCATGAACGTTGAGCCAAACACATAGCCAAATAACAACAACATGCCTGACTTGAAACAAGAATTTTGGACACCTGCCGAGCAGAATCCATTTTAAAAAAATTACATTGTACCAGGTCCGATACAACAGTTGTCATCATATCCAAGAGGTTTGTTGTTCGCACGAGACGCCTAGAACGTTAGTTGATGAGCAACCTACTCATTCCTGCTCTCTTGTAAGCGTGTATATTAGAAAAAAAATTCAACTCTGTCAGTTTAAACATAGTTTTTAGCATAGTTGAAGAGTATTTGTGTTCTTGGGAATTTACGTGACTAAGTCAGTGGTTTTGCAATTGCTATTGCTACCTGACACTTACATAAAGTTTCTCATTTCATCATATCAAACGCGGAGCAGTCTCCAAATGGGCGAAGCCATAGCATCATGATATGGCTTCGCACATTTGGAGACTGCTCCGCCTGATCCACCAGAAACTGTGAATCCTTGATCAGTGTACAAATTGCTGTACTGCAAGCAGTAGGTTTCTATGCATACTTTTTTAAATGTTCATCTTTTATGATCATTTTAAAAGCTTCCTCGGCTATCACCAAGTAGTTGCAGAAACATGAGACATTTCCTACAAAGTTAATACCGTAATTGCACAAAAACTAGGTTCTCTTCTGGTTTAAGCGGCACAAATCCACAGGCAGCTTAGGTACAGTATACTTATGGCAGAGCACGACTGATTGCGTTACGTTAGTCACGCGTCACACAGTAACTAGTTCATGATGAGGTGGAACCAGTCGAAACTGCATATTAATGTCAGCATCTGAACTACTGCGCACCTACCCCTCGCCTTGGTTTTTTAAATAGAAATGTAGAACCGAGATAAGCATTATTTTCAAAATTTTCATAACCTGTTTCTGACGATATTCTTTTATCAACAGGTGATTTACATGACACACATAGCCTGCATTTTTCTGCGAAGACTGCTATCTTATTTGTTTCTTTTTGTTGTTGTTGTTGTTTTTTTTTAAAGAGTTTTAATACATTTCTTCATAAATTCGAAAGCCAAACTTACTCTTTGTCAAAGGTTCATAAAGCCAATTGTGAATTTGAGGGAAAATAACATATTAAAATGATCACAAATATAAAATTTCAGTTGTCTTGTACTTTTTTGTGGCTACTGCCTCCCCTAGGAGGCGGAGCCACATATGTTATCAAAATGACTGAGTGAGGGTAATGATAGAATGTTGAACTTCACCCGATTTTGACCCGATGTCACCTATTTTTTTTTTCTTCAGTCGTAGTTCGACATTCGCACTAGAAAAAAATGGGCGCAGCATACACTAAAGAAAGAAGAATGCCTTAGAACAAATAATTTTGTGCCTAAGCAACCTAAAATGTCAGTTTTTCAGTTCTTGTCGTGACATTTCAGAGGACGATTAACATCTCACAATCATTTCAGGATGTCGTTTAATTAAAGACAAAACTTTTCCTCGCAGAAATATCTGAACAGGTGTGATCAGTGTTTCGTTGACGGAACCAGAAATGAACTCATGATTACAAACATTGATTTAGTTAAAGATTAAGGACATTGAGATACAATGAATATATGAAGTTCATACATTTTGAACTGCCGTATTAGATACGTATGATGTACGATCCTCGCAGTAGATAGCGCTATTTATGCAATAGCGAAAATCAGACCTGAAAAAAATCAGGTCGTGTTTTTCCTGGTCATCTAATACCGCAGTTCAAAATGTATGAACTTCATATATTCATTGTATCTCATTTATCACTTTCACGGGTTTATTACGAATCAACTTAGCAGCCTGCTCCCAGTTGGCTTGTTAGCTCAATTGGTAGAGCGCTGCACTAGTATCGCAGAGGTCAGTGGTTCGAGTCCCGTACAGGCCTGATTTTTATTTTCTTTTTCAGGTCTGATTTTCGCTATTGCATAAATAGCGCTATCTACTGCGAGGATCGTACATCATACGTATCTAATACGGCAGTTCAAAATGTATGAACTTCATATATTCATTGTATCTCAATGTCCTTAATCTTTAACTAAATCAATGTTTGTAATCATGAGTTCATTTCTGGTTCCGTCAACGAAACACTGATCACACCTGTTCAGATATTTCTGCGAGGAAAAGTTTTGTCTTTAATTAAACGACATCCTGAAATGATTGTGAGATGTTAATCGTCCTCTGAAATGTCACGACAAGAACTGAAAAACTGACATTTTAGGTTGCTTAGGCACAAAATTATTTGTTCTAAGGCATTCTTCTTTCTTTAGTGTATGCTGCGCCCATTTTTTTCTAGTGCGAATGTCGAACTACGACTGAAGAAAAAAAAAATAGGTGACATCGGGTCAAAATCGGGTGAAGTTCAACATTCTATCATTACCCTCACTCAGTCATTTTGATAACATATGTGGCTCCGCCTCCTAGGGGAGGCAGTAGCCACAAAAAAGTACAAGACAACTGAAATTTTATATTTGTGATCATTTTAATATGTTATTTTCCCTCAAATTCACAATTGGCNTGAAAACTGCATTGTCGGAGTCGGAAGCGGAAGCGGAAGAATAAACCAATCACAATCCTCGATTCCATCTTTCCAAAATGCACAAATAGCCTTAACAAATTTAAGTGTGTGAGCTTGACGGTAAAATTACGAAATTAAAAGTTAAAATACTCGAACTGAACCCACCGAAAGTACGATTCACGATCACCAAGTCGTAGTTCGCTGACGAGGTTAAGACCTGGGCATAACTGTCACCAACACTCTCCAATGGTCTCAACATATAAAACTGATCTCCTCGATCTAAAGCAAATAGAACGCTTGGCCTTATTCGTAGCGTCTGTAGAGATATAAGTGATCCCGACATCAAGAAACTTCTATACTGCTCAATTGTTCGACCACAACTAGAGTTCGCTTGTGAACTATGGTCACCCTACACATCAAGGGACACACTATTACTAGAAAATGTTCAGCGCAGGGCCACAAAGTCTATCTTGAATTATGCAAGTTGTGATCTGATCTAAGTTGTGATCTGAACATCGTAGAAACTTTGAATGAATTTTCTTTTATTCAAAATGAAAGCATTTTACCATCTGAATCAGTGATTTTAGACACTAGAGTCCGATTCTAGATTTTTGCCACTTATGGCCGATTTTCAATCTTGAATACTGGTGGCCGATTTTAGATCGTGCACAATAGCAGTGGATTTCAGATTTTTGACACTAAAGGCAAAGAATTTGGACGTGCCCACAAGTGGCCAATTTAAGATTTTGGACATTACTGTCTGATTTCAAATTTGGGCACTGGTATCTTATTATGGATTTAAGAAGCCTGTGGATGAATTTAAACTTTGGAAACTAGTGGCCGATTTGGGATTGTGGACGCTAGTGCCCTACTTGGACTTCAGAAGCGAGTGGCCAGTTCTGGATTTTGAACATTAGTGGCCGATTTTGTATTTTGGCTACAAGTGGCCGATTTGGGATTTCGGCCACTAGTGGCCGATTTTGCATTATGGCCTCTAGATGCCGATTTTGCCTTTTAGCCAATAATGGCCGATTTGGGATCTCGGCTACTTCCCTTAAATCTAAGGAATAGCAGTGAAGTTCTTATTTCAAAACTACTCCTTTCATCTTTACGTGGTTTTTCTTTTGCATTGAATAACGATTTGTTTATCGACCTGAAATTTTAACTTTACTAAGAATACTTGAACTTATCAGGTAGAAGCTGTTGTCGTAATCCAACACCAAATTCTCGTAACTAATTGCAGGGAACTGTTTAGCAGTTAGGGAATTATCAGATCCTGTACAGGGGGGCGGTTCGGGAAGACAAGGAATATCCGAAAGCGAGGAAAGCTGGAAACTAGTCTCTCGCTCTCGAATCATTTCCCGCGCTAGTACGTTGTGAAAGTATAAGGCTGAATTTGGCTGTGTTTGGCTGTTTTTAAAGGCCTTTCAAGACTAAGTAGTAGAGGTGTGGCTTAGAATTGATCGAAAAAATGATGCAAGTTTTGTAGAACAAGTTATCAAGAGGAAACCAATGTTAATATGGAGAACGAAGATGGTCAGTTCGTATACACCATCCATGGTGTCAAAGTTTCGTTTCCTTGTAAGGCATATCCAACTCAGCTATCTATGATGAACATGGTGAGGTTTGAATCAACTAGCTACATGAGTCCTACGGAGAGATTTCCGTATAACCCCATACCAATCAAAAACAAAGTCGTAATCCCAGAGGTAATCTGTTGTTTTGCCTCCGCTTTGAATTGTATGCATAATGAATTTGGGGTTAAACGGAAATCTTTCCGCTCCTTCTTTTGAGGTACTTGTCAATGATGCGAGATCATGTGTATAGTTTACTGATTGAAGTAGCTATTTTTCTGTTTAACATAGATTTACTATCTTTGTTGATATAATTATAATAATAAATTAGTATTTGCTTAAAAAATATTTTATATTACCGACTAAGTCATTAGTTCAAGGTATGGATGTTACCAACTATGCGAATTTATTAAAACTGGAGGAAAGAGTACCATGTAACCCCATACATTAATTATGCATTCCACTTCTTTGTCTTTCACGACAAAACTTTAAAAACAAAGTCTACTAGTCTGAATGCATAATTAATGTATGGGGTTATATGGTACTCTTGCCAAACTGGGTTATTGGATAATGCAGTTCAAGACTTTTGACTGGCTTAGCCATTATGGTACATGAGCCAATATACCATAATCTAATATCTGTACATTGTAACATCCAGTTTCTTCTTACAAAATAAAGTAGAGAAGATTTGTCTAATATCTTGGGGGCGTTTTTTTAATAAAACAATTATTCCACTTGTATTTGTTGGATGTGAGATGATAATAATAGCGAACTCGGCACTATACGCCAAGTTGGCTATCTATCATCTCATATCCAATGTGTGCTCATGGAATAATTGTTAATTACACCATTTATACCATTAACTAACTGAATGGTGTAATTTGTCAAATGCTTGGAAAAAATAAAATCATGGATGCCTTGCAGTGCATAGTAATTTTTCACCCAAAGGAAAGTTTGGTCAAGCTCTCTTGAGTGTAGGTAAAAGTCCTGAGGCACTTTCTTCATTTGTTCCTGTCTAATTAATTTTGTTCATTTGCTCTGTGAAATTACTTTTTGTTGAATCCATGCCGTATTTGTTAGAATTATGACAATTTAAACAGTTAACATGTAGTTGCATTTGTTTCTGTTTACACATCTTTCACTTTAGGTTTGTTATTTAAATTTTACATTTTCTTAGTTTTCTGTAATAAATCTGTAGAAGTAGAAACTTGAACAAGTTCCTTTTATCAGTATTAAAATAGCTGTTTCATCAATTGCATTACAGCATGCAAACAATGCCTTTTATGAGTTGATATTTGTCCTTGTATTTGCATCTGAATTAAAGTAGTGTGTAGAAAATTTGAATTTGTTTATGTTTGCATTTGCGTGGCATTTATGAATCAAACTGATTTGTTTGCCACATGTTTTGTTTGTCTGTGTTTGTTGGGAACAACAATACTACTTGAATTTGACTAATCCTGCAATGGTTTGACCCCTGATGGTGGCTAGCATTTGATTTATTTAAAAGTTATCACCCCTGAATCAAACGTTAAGGTCAGAAGAATAAAGGAGATAATCACCAACTAAATACCCTCTCAATTCTTAAAATAAATTCTCCTTATCAGCACCTTAGGAAATAATTATATAGAGATCGGTATGCAGTGGTTTCAAAATGTTTTGAAGTAGGCGGCCGACTCTGGAAAAGTAGGCGGCTGTGATAATCAAGAGATTGTTTGTCACAAGCAGACTGTTATGACCCGAGTAGTGGGCAACATACAATCAAGTAGCCAGCGGAACTCCGGCGGTTGCCAGCTTATTTTGAAATTGTTGGGTATGGAGAATATACATACTGCTGTTAGGGTGTTAAGGGTAAGTCAGAATGACTACAGCAAGTGGATGCTTATGCAGTAACTGTTATTCCTTTTCAGTGTATTTTTTCTTTGTTGCTTTATCTTTTAGATTATCAAAGGGATTGAAAGGCATCAGAATTCATTACTTGAAAGTCCAACGGGAAGTGGAAAGAGTCTGGCCTTGCTTTGCTCTTGCTTGGCTTGGCAATCTGCAGAATATGGTACTGCCATTTTTTTATTGACTTCTTTTTTACTGATTACTGACATGTTATCTGAAAATGTTAAAAAAATTAATTGATTTTTGCAAGGAAAATAAAATAAAAATATAATCCACCATTAGTGGTTTCTTTACTTTGTTGTCTAAGTGTTATAATGTCCAATTCTGGTTTTTATGATAGTGTTGTCTGATTGTCCAGGTGGGTGTAGTCCTGAGAAGGACTGTTGTGGGTAGTGGTGACTAATTTTTCGACAACCTAAGGGGAAGTATGATGCACGATCCTCGCAGTAGATAGCGCTATTTAAGCAATAGCGAAAATCAGACCTGAAAAAAATCAGGCCTGTACGGGATTCGAACCACTGACCTCTGCGATACTAGTGCAGCGCTCTTACTGATTGAGCTAACAAGCCAACTGGGAGCAGGCCGTTAAGTTGATTCGTAATAAACCCGTGAAAGTGATAAATCAGATACAATGAAAAATATTTCATTGTATCTGATTTATCACTTTCACGGGTTTATTACGAATCAACTTAACGGCCTGCTCCCAGTTGGCTTGTTAGCTCAATCAGTAAGAGCGCTGCACTAGTATCGCAGAGGTCAGTGGTTCGAATCCCGTACAGGCCTGATTTTTTTCAGGTCTGATTTTCGCTATTGCTTAAATAGCGCTATCTACTGCGAGGATCATGCATCATACGTATCTAATACTGCAGTTCAAAATATATGAACTTCATATATTTCATTGTATCTAAGGGGAAGTCATCATCAGTCCTTCTCAGGACTACACCCACCCGGACGATCAGACAACTCTCTCACATGTTACCCCCACCTGAGGTTCAAACCATTTACTGTAACTGGTTTTCATTTTTGTTAACAGAAAAGAAGGCAAAGATTGAAGAACAAATGAAAGGTCAGTGGTTATTTATGTTGCCCTATATCTTTTGAACCAAGTCAGTGCATGGGGTCATGAATTAGGCCATTGATGTTTTTTAACACAATCGTTATCAATGAAACTTTTATCATGTAGAATTGTCACATGGTAATAAGAATGGGGATGAGTGCATGAAGAAAAATTAGTGTTCAGACAATGTAGAAGCTTTACAATCATTATGGTAAACTAAGATTTTTCATTGAAGAATTCCATTCTGCAACTCCCTTATAATCTAACAAGTTTGTTGTTTGTTTGTTTGTTTGGACCCAGTCATGAATGAATATGTACATAGTTTAGTCATACCCTTGGTGGTTAGGCTTATTTTTGCAAGAAGGTTTCACATTTATTTTTTCGTTCTCTTATGCAGCTGAAGTAGGGAATGATGAATGCTGTATTAAGACCTGCCATGATGAACAAAAGCCGCTTCCAACAGGTGCAGTGATAGATGTTGTAGTCTGTGATTCTCCTGTTGGTTCAGTGATCAATTTAAATTGAAACAGATTGAAAGACAAATTATGAATTACAAGCTTTGCTTACACCATGACTTAAAAGTGGTATGTGTGTAGGCTTTATTAGTACCTTCCCTTAATCAAATTTTACCTCAGAGGGTATTTAAAAGCAGATTGAAGAAATCAGTTTGCTTAAAATGTTTAAAAAATGTTAAGATTGTATAATAGAAAAGTCTTTAAGAAAACTGAATAAAGGCTGATAGTTTTGAAAGAAACTGTTTGGGGCTGCGTCGGTGGGGGTAACGAAATAATTTGGATATATCAACAAAGTTGAAATGGTAAATTGGCCTCCGAAAAACTGTCTGCTTTTAACTTTTTGTGTCAGAAATCTCTAATCAAGCATGGATCAATATTATTTTGATGGAAAAATACATTATAATAAATTGCTTATTTCTAGCAGTGATTTATTTATTTGGTTGCTCTTCCATATTTTTGGTTCTTCAGATCCAGCACATGTCATCAAAAGTGAGTATTTCCACCAAAATAATTCCAATCTTCATGAAAAAATTTCTTCAGAAACACCACTGAAAACAGAAACAGCAGCTACTCCGAAGAAGATGCCAGGTTTTTATTTTATGATTCCTTGTTTGTTTAATATAATGAATACACATATGATGCATGATCCTTCGCAGTAGATAGCGCTGTTTATGCAATAGCGAAAATCAGACCTGAAAAAAATCAGGCCTGTACGGGATTCGAACCACTGACCTCTGCGATACTAGTGCAGCGCTCTACCAATTGAGCTAACAAGCCAACTATTTTTTTTTCTAACAATTTTTTTTTTATTTAATTTTGATTTATTTAAGTCTGATTTTCGCTATTGCATAAATAGCGCTATCTACTGCGAAGGATCGTGCATCATACGTATTTAATACTGCAGTTCAAAATATATGAACTTCATATATCCATTGTATAATGAATACAGTCTGACTGCAGAATTTTGACCATGCATTAAACTCTGCTTAAAGTATCATTCATGGCCTCAACCACAAAAAATCAAACTTTGTTTTTCAAATTGTGCAAGGAGTTTTAATGAAATCCAAGTATCTTTGGTCTAGATAGGTTGAACTCGACACCAACTTCATGTCTAAATTTCTTTCCCAGAGCAAAGTGAGTCACTACCTGGTAGAGATATTGAGTCTAGAAGCCCAACCGATGATGATTTTCAAACAGCCAAGAAGCGCTTCAGAACTCCAGGCAATAACCAGGTGATTAAAACTCTTAAAATTTATTTGAAGTATTTAAAAAGTTTGGCTCCTTTCAGGTTTAAAGCTGGCTTAAATGAGGGCCTGTACACACAAACTAACAAGACCAGGTGACAACACCAAGAGCAACAAGTAAAGAGTGCTGTTTATCAGGAAATGAGGAGAAAATTTTTTTTCAAATCAAAGGGTGTTGATTTTTTTAATGCATTATCACAGAGCAGAGGTGTGGAATGTGTTAAAATATGTACATGTATTTCAGCTGCATTGTATATCAAAACACATGTAACATTTTCTCTATATGTTGGTAGAACAAGTATATTGTATAAATATTGTATCTGTTTATCTATTTTTCTAGACGGAACAAGTTTGTAGAAAACAATGTCTGCTTCTTTTAGGAATTGACTTTAAATTTGGATAGAGTGATCTCTTTTGTTTTCAAGGAAATTAAATATTATGATAGTAATTTAAGGGTTCATACTTAACAAGAGGCAAGAATGATTTGATTTTCATTTTGATTTGTTGTATCAAACATAATTTTGATATAATAAGATGGAGGAAAAAAAATTTTTTTTCAAATCTCATTTGAAGAAAAATAAAACTGAGATGATGTAAAAGAGAAATTTTGGCTGATCAAAGAATTTATGCTTTTTGAATTCATCCATGTCAAGCTCTTTGATAAACTAGACATGTCTAAGGGAAGCACAGTTCTTTGTGGAATTTTTCTCTTCTTCTGGAGCTATTTCCTTTTAACATAAAAATTAATGTGTTCTTACCTTTCTAATTTAAATTTATTTACCAGACTGTGTCGTCATCTAAAAAGAGGCGTGTCCAGCCAAATGCCAGACCCTCAGGTGAAGATGAAGCTGATCATGAGCCTCCAGAGTGGACCATGGAGCTAACTACAGACAGAGAAAGGCAAAATATTTCATCAAGTTCAGCTGCAAATGTTCCTGACAAAAAAGACAAGTCATCACCTGATGATAGTGGCAAGAGTGACACAAAATCAGAAAGACTAAAGTAAGGGTGTTATCTCTGAAAAAAAAATATTGTACAGTTTCAATATCCTTCTGGAAGAGATAAATAGAACGTCCAGAGAGAAAGGCTTTAGATGGTGAAGTTCAGGAGATGTCATACAAGGGTGCTGCTGCTCAAGCAAAATTTTTTGTTAGTCTTTTTAATTTGCCCAATTTTGGCAACATGATGAGTGTTGAGCATCTTTTTAAATCTTGGCGTTGTGTACGATAAAAAGAGACTCCTTTATTGATGCTATAGAATGTCATGAGCCAGGTGGATGAGTGTTAAAATACATCCTTTTTATTACTTAACTCTGGCACTCATAGAAGAGATCAGAAAATAATCTCTTCTCACAGTATCAACACCAAGCAAACAAATGATGAGAGTAAAGAAATTATCAAATAAGGGAACTTTTTTCACAAAGCCCTTATTTCTGAAAACTAGCACAAGGCTGTGCTCTGAGAAAAATTGAAGGGAGCCCAGTGCTCTGAAACTGTGAAATCCAGGGTGCCCATCAGATGCTTTCTATGAAAAAGCTAAGATTTCTGAGTCACCCAAGAGCAAAATTAAGGCACCAGGGGCCACCGGGCACTGCTAGAGTACAGCCCTGTTAAGCATCTTGAGAAGTATATGGTGAACAGTAAGGAGACTTGGTACTGAGAGCCAGGGAGTGAAAGAGTTGAGATGTTGGAGGAACAATATGGGACACTTAAGATTGAATACCTTTTAACATTACTCAATCTGCAATACTAGAAGACATTGTTGTATAGAGTGGACAGTGACGTCCAGATTTATGTTACATCCAATTCCAAAGGGGTCAAGGGTTAGCTGATCTAAAATTTGCACTCATTTTCCTTTGAAGGATTCCAAAAATCTTTTTTGGAACAAGAACGCACAAGCAAATTGCTCAGATTTCGAGGGAGCTCAAGAAGACTGTCTACAAACACGTCAAGTAAGAAATAAAAATAAGATATATGAGATAGGTTTTACATAGAACGCCCGAGTGAAAGCAGTAGTGTACCAAGACAAATGTGCTATAGTTGATGATTGCATTAAATTCCTAATCCTAATTTGCATTGACAATGAGCTATTTTGCAGTAAATGGCTCTTACCCGGGGGTAACATGTGAAAGTGTAGTGTGATCATCCGGGTGAGTGTAGTCTGAGAAGGACTGTTGTCGGTGGTAGTGACTGACGTTTCGACAACCGGCTTGTGCGGAAGTCATTATCAGAGTCAAATCTATGTTGTTGATTTACTGAGGAAATAACAAGTTTGCTTTTGATAGGTTTTTAGTGCCTGATCAATCAATATTACAGTAATTAGCTAAATAGTACAGTACTTGTTGAGGTAGCCACTCTTAATCTCTCCAGAGACCTAGAACTTAGTTGACCTGAAACATCTGTCTAGAAAAAATCAGTGGGTTAATTATTGTGGGGAAACTCAGAAAACCATTAACTGTTGGATTTTGTTCAGGCAGGTGAATTGTGTAGAGTGTGTTAAAATAACTCTGATTATGATACTATGTACCAGGTATTTATCATTTCTCTTCATTTGTGCAGGATGACTATACTTTCCAGTCGAGAGCATTCTTGTGTTCATCCAGTGGTTTCCAAAGGTAAAAGCAAGAATGAAGAGTGTAAAAAGCTGCTGGATGGTTCAGAGGTTTGTAGGTTTGTAGGGATGGGTATTACAGGGCTTGACACTAACTTTTCGACTTACCAGCCAAGTGGCTAGTGAGATCTTAGATGTACAACAATTTCAGTTTGTTTACTAGCCAAACTGGCGAGTGGAAATTGAAAACCACCAGCTAAACTGACCGAATTTCTACTAGTCTGTGGCTAGTTGGCTACTAAGTGTTGAGCCCTGTACTAACTATAATGTTTTGATTCAAGTAAAACCATCTCAAAATGTTCCAGAAGTTCCATGTTTGGATCCTGTGGACTATGTGTTTACGTTGCCAATTGCCATTTAAGCTAGGGAACTGTGCTCCCGCTTGAAGTTAAATCTACCCCTAATGCAGAACTCAGCACCCTTACTTTTATTCTCTTTTGTACTGCCAATTAAATGCTTGTAGAATGTGTCTCACATGTAACTGATATATCAAGCAACGTCGGTTGTTCACTGCTCTTGAGATGTTACATTTTTATAGTGGGAATAGATTTTGTAGTAATTTCAGGTCTAACATTTGACTGTGAATTGTCTAAAAACCACTAATTTGTATTTTTCTATAATTTTATTTAAGATGTTGTTAAAACAAGCAAATTGCAGTACCTTTGTTTCATGTGAATTTTTATTAACCTGTGTGGCTGTTTTTTGTTTGTTTTTGGTTTGTTTTCTTTTTAACTTTCTATATAATTTCAAGGGCACGGCCTGTAGATACTATCAGAAAGTTCACACCATTCGGAGTCAAACCAGCTTGAGATACCATGGCCTGTCTGTTGCCTGGGATATTGAAGACTTGGTCACTCTTGGAAGCCAGATTAAGGTAATTTAGGCTTATCAATCTGAAATATCTTTTATTACTCAAATCATACTAAGAAGCAAGTTGTGCTGATACTTGTGTTAGAACAGGGAAGGTTTCGTGGCCAACAGATAAGTGCTGACTGCTTGTTTTACTCTAGACTTTGCCAGTTTTTGGGTCCTCAACGAAGAGAGACTCACACACACTCTAGTCCTGATTACATCTACTTTTATTGCTAAATCAAAGTGCTTAATATATATGTTGCAGGTAAAAATTAAATTCAGAGAAAAAAATTTTAACCTAGGTTGAATTTCAATTCTCTTTGTTTCCAAGCCCTAATTGTGAATAATTAGGGCTTGGAGACAAAGGAAATTGAAATTCAACCTAGGTTAAAATTTTTTTACCTGAATTTAATTTTTACCTGCAACATATACATATTGGTGGCTAGTTTTTTTGTGATTAAATATGCGAGGGAAGGCACGTGGTTTCCTTCTAGTAAACACCTTAATTTGAATGTGAGCATACTGTTTTGTTCTACACTATTTAGCTACGTAAATCCAGTGCTCTGATAAGACTACACTTTGCACATTTTTGCATGTCACAAGGATCATATTCTTAGTTATTCTTCTCTCCATGCTTACTGGTGTTCACCTTGTCCCTGTACAGCATTTCTCCATTTTAAGTCAGTTTCCACTACACTCCCTCGTGTCTTGATAACAGTATTATGTCTATTGTAAGTAGTAGTGCTTATTTTGTTATGATCATTTCTAGGCTTGTCCATATTATGCTGCAAGGGAGTTAATGAGAGAAGCTGACATCATTTTTTGCCCATATAACTATCTCATTGATCCAAAAATCAGGATGCAGGTGAGATTCTGACGTTATGTGGGATGTGTTACTGTACAACAGTTGCAAGGCAACATGGAATCTGTTTGTCCACATGCAGCCCAAGCTCTCTTTAAGAACCACACAAGGGAACACAATTTGCACATCAATTTATAAGGATTTGTATGGGATTTTCTACAAGATATCCAGGGAGATAGTTAAAAGTGAAAATATTAAATAAAAATGGCTTACCTTATTCCATACGTGTATCGTTTGCTCCTGGTGTCATTATTTTACCGTTACTTTACCTGTTGATGACTATTCCTTGAAGATGAATTTTGCAAGAATAACTAATTTTAAATCCACTTATTTTAATAGAATTGTTGAAATGTGGAATTCGATACCCTTAGATATTAGATTATCTCTTAGTCTTGCAGCTTTTAAGTCTAGAGTGAGGAAGTTTTTAAGTAAGGAACATAGACGTTTTTGATGTAAAATTTTTCTGTCCGTCATTATATGTGACTTACTTAGATTAGCTACACGGTGATCTGTCTTGCATGGAGCATACCACTCTTTTACAGATTATCCTTATGGCTTTGCCTGTTTGTACATTTAGATTTATTCAATTTGGTAAAATAACAACACCAGGAGCAAACAACACACGCATGGAATAAAGTAAGCCATTTTTATTTGATATTTTCACTTTTAACTATCTCCATGGATATCTTGTAGAAAATACCATACAAATCCTTATAAATCAATATGCGAATCATGTTCCTTGTGTGGTTCTTAAAGAGAGCTTGGGCCGCCTGTGGTTTGTCCATAGGAATCATCTCAGATTTACCCCCAGAAGGTAAAACTTTACAGATTCTGATCAGTTTGATTTATGTAGCCAATCTGATATTTTTTCAGATGGATATTGATCTCAAGGACCAGATTGTTGTTCTAGATGAAGCACACAATGTTGAAGACTCTTCAAGAGAGGCAGGCAGTCTTACACTGACAACTGTAGAATTACAGAACACTCTGGATGAACTTGATAAACTAGGTCAGTGAAGATAGTAAAATTTGGTGTAAATTGGAAAGTATTATGCCCTCTTGCACTGGGGTTTCATGTAGCCTTAATACAAGTTATGTAGCTCATTATTAAAAAGACTACCAGCCCACAGTAAAATCCAGGTGTCTTTATTTATGCCAAGTTCAGCAAAATAGAAAATTCCCTCTTTTCTTTTTGTAAGATCAATTTCAAGTATTGTTTTCTCATACATGCTTAAAAAACTACTCTTTTCCTTAGTGCAAATGCGGGTTTTAACAGAACACCATCAACCTTTACATTTGATGGTAAGTAAACCCATTCTCTGTTTGTATTAAGGATCATCAGTTGTTGTAATAAATTACTTGTTCTAAAAGAGTGCACATGCAGTGGTATGCCCTACAGCTCATTCATTCAGCCATTACCAGATATATTTTAACCTCCCTTTACACTTTCATCACTCAAGGGTAACCCCAAGAACTTTAAATAAGACAGATCTCTACTCTGGGAATAGAGCAACAAGGTTTCAAGGAAGAAATGCTGTCAGTCTTCTTTGAACAAAATCCCCAAACCATTTAAAAGTCTCAAACATAATTGGATGAAACTGAGTATTTCATACTGTTTCAGAACATTGAATTTAGCAATCCATCATTTTCCTGTATAGCATTGCTTAGTAACCCTTGGTAGCTTGTTAGCAACTTTCTCTTCACTCAGTTTTCAAAAAGTTAGCCCAAGTACACTGGTCTGTATTTAATGGCCAAAAGCTATTATCACTGATAACAAAACAACGACATACCAGTAGTTACCTAGCTTCCAGCAAGAATTCCACATGATTGCTCATTTCTTTTAAACAACAAAAAAAAGAATGGTATTATGACTGTGCACGTTGTAGTTAAATTAATTTTGTTACTTCTCAAGATTGGGAGTTTTCTGCGATGGATCCATGAGAGTTCTGCAGAATTGAAAGAGAGAGGCTTTGAGCAGTCTTCTAAAGTGTGGTCTGGAATGGAAATCGTCGCTGCAATGGAGAAACAAGCAATCACACCTGGAACTTTCTACATATATTTTGTATGTGACTTTATGATTAATTTTGTAATCAGGGACCTCATGTTGTGTTCTGGCTGAATTCCTGGTTGTCATGCAGTTCAGAGAATTCCCAGATTTGTGTAAAAACTGTGGGTTTGATCTTTATTTTAAAATATACAGTTTCATTTTTTGGCTATTTTCTTTTTCTGATATTTTGGTTGCTTACGAAAATACCAGTACTTTTTATGTAGGTTGGTTGACAGAAAGTTGTGTTAATATTGTTGAGATATTTTAGGTAGATAAGATATATCATTTGTCGTTACATAATGTTTATTACACGACTCGGGCAGTCAGAGGGCCAATAACTAAAATTAACCAATCAAAATGCTCTATTGCCGGTCCAATATTCTCTAAGTATTGGACCGGCACTGTCCTGAATGGTCCCAAATGACACCGCACTTGTGTCCCTTTGGACTTCAGTCATGTAATAAATCTCTTATTAACCAAGCTTGCTTGGGACCGTACTGGAAGAATATCGGCCCTCGGTCTTTTTTGTACGGACCTTGCTGTGCTCGGTCCGTACTGTCAAGACCTCGCACCGATATTCTCCCAGTATGGCCCTCACACTTGGTTAATAAGATATATATACTGCTAACATTTTGCAGCCTAATTACTACCATATAATTCTTTTTGTGATCAGGACCATTATATGTACATAATGGCAACCATAAAGGACCCAACCAGGTATGTGTAAAATGTGATTTGGCACTATTATGCTATGATCTGTGTGAGTGCTTCTCTTATAGAGAACTTTGTCTATGGATTGCATGATTTATGGGCACATGAATGTTTCTAAGGATTTGCAAATTAGATAAGACAAAATGCAAACAAATGATTGAAAATCTCTCATGGTATTGCAAGTGACTGTACAACTGCATGGGATTTTGTTTTATTACATACACTGTACCATAAAAATATTCTCTGATTATGCTGACAATCCTAATCTTTTCTTTCTAAGTTTATCATAATTCCTCTTTTTTTCATACACAGATCAAATGACATGCCAACCCTGTCCACTCATAGTCAAAGTCTGCTGGAAGGGATATTCCTCATTGGGAAATATATGATGGAAAATGATATGCAATATATTTCTGATTACAGGTACACTTTTTTTCAGTGCATTTGCAAAATTCGTGTCTTTCCCTTTTAAATGCTGAGAGTAGACAGCATGTAATTTCCCCTTACAATGGTACATCTGAATCATTCATTATAACATAACCATAGTAAAGCGCACGCTCTGATTGGTCAAATTAGCGTCCCCCATTTGCCCATAGGTGTACGCTGCTGACGTGAGGAAAGGCAAAGACTATTTTTCCGCGCGCTTGTTTTTTCTGGTCACGTAAGATTTGTCAAAAAATAAAAGGGAACTCGTTAGCTACAATGTATCAATGTTATGTTATAAAACAAATGGTAAACACCACAGCGTACACTATTGAGTTATGGATGCACTTGGGAGGTTTGCTATGCACTCGAGAAGCTAGAGTTGCTCTCGGCTATCGCGTCGCGCAACTCTTATGCTTCTTTCGTGCTTAGCAACCTTCCGGGTGCATCCATAACTCAATAGTGTACGCTGTGGTGTTTACCATTTGTTAATTATGATCATGAGAATTCACTGAATCAAAATATGGCGTCCAATTTGAATTACCATTGTTTTTTACTTACTAGCCTCATCTTCATGTGGAAAACACAAAAGGATTATCACATGTGTGAGAGGCTAGTAAGTCCAGAACAATGGCAATTCAAATAGGACGCCATATTTCGATTCGGTGCATAAAGGAAATTATCTTCAATGTGAGGGACTTAGATACTTAAACCATTTCTCCTTGTCGGTTCCTTAAGGAAATGTATAAAGAAGGGAATGGAGAATATGGATACTGATGGTTGGGTGTTATTCGTTGATGGTGTTTTCTTCTCAGGTTTAGAAAATCCTACACAGCTAGCTCTTCATACTGGATTTTATTCTCCATAGTAATACTCTTATTATTAGATGCGTATGGTCTTGCACGTACATGTAAAATGGCCAACTGGCATGACCCTAGGTTATTAAGATTTTTTTACCACTTTTTGTCCAGGCTAGGGTGGATCCAGGGGTAATGCCGGTGGTTCTGTTCTGTACGTTGAACCCCCTAAATTTTCCCTCAAAATGCTGGAAATCTTGTTTCTGAAGACTAAATCCTGAATCCACCCAGAATTGGTTTCTGTGTTTTGTAACACTGAACCTAAAAACCTTATTGAGAGAGTTGTCAATTAAGATATTTGTTTTCTCGTCATATTAAAAATTAACTGCCCTTGTAAATTGACTTTTTTTTCTTTCAATCGTCCAGATGTGCAGTACTGAAAACATCAGTCATGGTTAGGGATGTAGTTTTGGTAAGTACATAATAGCAAGAGTAACCCTGAGAAGTGTAACGATACGAACCAGGCAATTATCTAGAATTTTTCCTTTCCTCTCCTTTTAACTGCAGCCTGGAGGATGGAGACGATCCCATGGAGGTGAGTTATTATTTAATTCTCTAAACCCAGACATCAGTATGCATATCTGTTCTGTCCTCTGTACATTTCTTATGGGATGATGAATTTATTAATCTTCTTTATTTGGTGATCATTTCCTTTTTACCTTACGGTATGACGTAAGTCATGCTATGGGGTTTAGGATTTGGGGGCGAAATTCAATTAAAAATCACTCACCCACTTTGTTAGACGTTAATTTATACATTAAACCTGGATTAAACACTTTTTCTCCCCCTCCCCGACGAGTTTACCTGTTGAAAGTCACGGTGTATGTATATTTGGGGGGTGGAACGAAGGCGAGAATATGCCGAACTGCTTGGACAGATTCAAAATGGCGTCCTGTCCCTTGAAGTGTGATGGCTTTTTGATTCCAAACTTGATTAAAACATACCTTTGTGGAGCCAAAAATGGAAAGGAAATATGCTACAGAAAACTCGACTGCAGAGAAATGGGCGTCTTAGTCCTAAAAGTGACGATAACATGAACGATTCTTGCGTGAAGACCCAAACACCGCGAATATGGAGTGAGCTTAAGCTTACTCCAAATTGGTTAGCGTGAAACCTCATTGATTTTTTTCTTGTTCCACCCACAACCACGAAAACTTTGCCGGTATCTTAACTAATTCTTCACACATTCGCAATTTAAGACAATTTTTCTCCATCAAAACGCTTACAAACACAATAATTGTGTCAGCACGTGTTGCCCACGATCAAAAAAACTTTCCAAAGAAAGACATCGCAGGTTACGTCAAGGGCGCCAAAAATTCATGCCATGAGGTTGCTCTAAGGAGGCTTTGATTATTTCTCATGGACCTAATGTTAGGTTCAGCAGTAATTCAGTAAGGAGAAATTAGATGCCAGTCACTCTTAGAGATTAAAGGATTAAAGCAGGGCTCGACGCTGAACTTTTCAACGTACTAGCCAAGTGGCTGGTGATAATAATAAAAAATTCTGGCCGATAGTTGGGGTGAATATCAGAAAGGAGCGCCTGTTTGAGGGAAAGCGTTCAGTCAATGAGTGACTGTGTATAGCAGAATTTTTGAGTATGAGATTGCACTTGATAGAAGGAAGAATGTATGACAGGCAAGTCTTACTATGGTTTCATTTTATTTATGGCGCTAATAAGGAACTTGCTTTATCTGAACAGGGGCTAGAAAGGAATGGACGCAATCGTTGAACTTTTGGTGCTTAAACCCTGCAGTGGTAAGATATCCTAGTGCAAATTTACCCTTTAAAGGACGATGTATTTACGTTCGTGTCTTAAGTCGACAGTAAAGAACTGTTCTCATTGGGTGTTGATCGTTAGCATAGTAGAGTACATTTTTGCAGGTGGGATGGCAAAGGTGGAGTAATATCAGCAGACATGAACCTTATATTAAATGCCACTGGTTACATAACTCCTGCGTTAATTTGGTGATAGACCAGTTATCGACTGAGTGCTGAAAAACCGAAACCAAAATAATCTTAGCGACCGGTCATTACCAAGGTTTATATTGTTATTTACCAATGAGAACCGCTGAACGTAAAAACAGTCAACCTGCTTGAAGCGCGGGAAAACGCGACTGACAACGTTGGGGTTAGTTTTACTCCTGCATCTGATTGGTTAAGTTGGTGGCGCGTGTTTTTTGGACCAATCACAGAGCAAAGTAAAAACAAATCAGGATCACTTTCAATACTCAATTGAGAATTGCTCTATCAAGGGAGATACATGTGTCTTGAAAAAGGTGGCGGGTATTCATCATGGTGAATGCCCTGTGAGTCGTCTTCAGGCGGAATGATGAAGACTCGCAGTGAGCACTCGAAACGACCCATCGGAAATGATTACGTCGTCGATTATACTTCATTCCCTCAAGGGAGATCTCTCTTCCGAGCTTGTCCATTGGTCTTTCCTACCTATCTTGTTTTCCTTTCGTTAGGTATTATCAGAGCTTGGCTCTCAGGCTCGTTGCATTGTGCTGACGTCTGGGACTCTTTCACCGATGGCGTCATTCTCGTCTGAGCTTGGAATCAAATTCCCAATCCAGCTGGAGGCAAATCATGTCATTGCTAATTCACAGGTATCCATCTATAATTTGTTCTAAAATTGTAGGGATAATTTTTAGCCAAATAGCATGCGAGCGACATACAGGCAGCTAGAAGATGCGGTGACGGGAATTTGGGAATAAATCGCTGGCTTTCAAGAAGGTTGATCATAAAAGTACACGTGTATTTTTTCAACTTATTGAGATAAGCGACACGAAAAGGGTTGTAAGTAAAAAATTTCGCTGCCGGCTGAAATTTCAAGTGAGGTGCCTCAAAGGTGGTAAGTACGTGCAAGTGTGTAACCTCAGAAGAGCCTGTTGTGCTTTACTAAGGCCGGCCAAAAATCCAGCTGCCGATCGCCGCTTTCTCATCCGGTGAATTTTGCTGGCAGCCGGTGCTTTGCGACAACCCTTCTTTAATTGTGTTTGAAAGTTAATCCAAGGATCATACTGCTTTGAATATGAAGACGTGGGTTGTAGGAGATGAACAAATTCCAGACTAACAATTCTCTTTTAAGACTATCCACAAGGTAGAACTGGTAGTGTTTTGCCTTTGTTTTTTCTTTTTTGAATGAAGGATTGTCTGCTCAACTATTAGGTCTGGGTTGGGACTCTGTCGTCAGGACCAAGTGGATCAGCTATCAATGCAAGTTATCGCAGTGCAGAGGTATGCTACAGCATCTGTAAAGTTTCTTACTTATGCTTGACCTACTATTACCGCTACTACTACTATACTAGCTACTACTTTAGAGCAATTTTTAATTGGTTGTTTTATTACTATTCCAGAAGACGTCCAGTTCAAGTTGGTTTTTGTTTCTTTAACGGACAAAATTTCTTTTGTAGACCTTCACTTTTCAAGATGAAGTTGGCAAAGTTCTACTTCATGTTTGCGAGGTAATTTAGATGGTTAACCATCCGTGTGCATAGTGAGTTTTATTTCACTGGCTTTTTCCTTTGTTTCTATTTCTCTTTGCCCGAAAATTAACTCCAACCTGTCTTTGTCGCTTTCTCTGCAGACAGTGCCTCATGGAGTACTCTGTTTCTTTCCATCTTATAACATGTTGGACAAGCTGAGCAAACGTTGGCAGGTACGATTTCCTATTTTTTTTTTTTTTTTTCTAAGCAGAGGAGTTTGATTGGTTTTGGGAGATTTTTGTTGAATTCCTGAAGAATACCTCTCTGGTCGTAAGTTAATCCTAACTTGACACAATACCAGGTTCATAGAGACAGAAAAAGAAATTGTTTATTTAAAATAGATTTCTTAAATGCTTTAAGACCTCCTCTATGGAAATAACCAAATGATTGCTTGTTTTTGTAGCTTTACATACGACCCATTAGCTTACTGATTTTGAATGTGCTTCCAAGAATAAATATTGTGATCGATACTGAAATACATGCGTCATGTCTGGCCACTCATCTTCAGCTGGGCGTGAAGAGAGAGAGATCTCCATCGGCTGAAGCATTTTCAATGTGTTAAAGTTTTTTTTTTTCGCGTAGTCAACAGGTCTGTGGTCAAAGCTCGTGGATAGAAAAGTACTTGTCAGTGAGCCACGAAGTGGGGACAAATCAGGTTTGTTATGAGTTCATTTTCTCTTCACAAATTTCTCTTTTGTCCTGATTTATTTTGCGTTCTTAATTACCAGATTTTGATGACATTATGCACCAGTTTTACCATGCTGTAAGAGTAAGTGAAGGCGAAGAAAGTAACGCGCAGCAAGGTAACTGTTGGATAACTTCTTACCTTTATCTTTTGTAAAGGAGTTTACATAATGTTTGAATTGAAGATTGATACCGGTAAATTGAAGAATAATACTGGCGATACCGGTGACAATTGACGGGTAGGTTGCAAGGGAAGAAAGAACGTCACTAGCTTTTGGAACTGACTCACGTGGCATGTGCTTATCAATTCACACCGGAACATAGGTCGTTTACGAGAGATCTGTGTATTCCCGTCCTTATAGAGGGCCGAGGGCTGGGCTGCTAGAAGTGTGTGTTGTCCAAGGGGAGGCACTCTCGGATGAAAATAAGTGTCACTTTTGATCGCAGCCCACGGCTTTTTAGTGTGAGTGTGATAGGGGTGGCTCATATTTCAAGTGTTTTAACCATTGTGTAGTGGCTGAAAGTGGAAATAGCGTCCTGGTTTTGTGATCGTCTTTTCGAAAATTGAGTGGTGAAAAGAACATTCAGAGCGTGTGAATTCAGCGATTAACTCTTGCATGTGAACTCTATCCCGGTGCTGCCAAGCTTTAAAGTTGTTTTGGTTTCAAGCGAAAACAAACAAATAGAAAACAAAACAATACAATACAAAACCTCAAGTCAGAACTGTTTTCTAGATGCTGGAGGTACCTCTAGCCCACTCTCTTTCTGTTGAGCCTTCAAGGCTTCATCTAACATACTTTCCATTGTATCAAGTTCCTTTGCTTCCTGCCTGGCAAGCATCAATGGGTACTGTGTAAGTCCCACTTTCAGAGATTTCTAGGCAGGAATTTCGCTCTTCTTCGCTCTCGCTTGTGTGGGATTATAAATCTTCGATGAAAACAGAATTTTTGATGATATTTCCAAAGCAAACAGACCTGTGGGATTTAGACTGCCGGTTTGAAAGATGAGCTTTTGTTCAAGATTTTTACGGCTTTCCGTGCCACCTAAGTGCAAGGAAAGACCGCAGATTGCCATATGTTGCTTAGAATGATTAGGTAAATTAAAATGTCGAGCGACTGGTTTCGATGTTTCCTTTCAAGTGTTTTAACCATTTTGTAGTGGTTGAAAGTGGAAATAGCGTCCTGGTTTTGTCATCGTCTTTTCGAAAATTGAGGCGTGAAAAGAACATTCAGAGCGTGTGAATTCAGCGATTAAATCTTGCATGTGAACTCTATCCCGGTGCTGCCAAGCTTTAAAGTTGTTTTGGTTTCAAGCGAAAACAAACAAATAGAAAACAAAACAATACAATACAAAACCTCAAGTCAGAACTGTTTTCTAGATGCTGGAGGTACCTCTAGCCCACTCTCTTTCTGTTGAGCCTTCAAGGCTTCATCTAACATACTTTCCATTGTATCAAGTTCCTTTGCTTCCTGCCTGGCAAGCATCAATGGGTACTGTGTAAGTCCCACTTTCAGAGATTTCTAGGCAGGAATTTCGCTCTTCTTCGCTCTCGCTTGTGTGGGATTATAAATCTTCGATGAAAACAGAATTTTTGATGATTTTTCCAAAGCAAACAGACCTGTCTTGTCGTGACTGGTTAGTAACATCATCGGCTGCTTGGGAATGTTCGAAATCACTTCGAGCATGATTCGTGGCAGGCACCATCCCGAAAAGGTCAAGGAATCCGTCATCTTTGTTGCGGGAGGCCGGAAGCCCACCACAAGAACCTCGGCTGTTTTCAAATAAATCTCTACTTACTTCGTATACACGAGAGCGCCGTCTGCCCAAACAACTAGTCGGGTTCTCTCCGTCTTGCCCGGTAGCACAAAACCTATAGAAAAGACATCTGGTACATTTGTCCCTCTGCAAGACATATATGAAGGGTTTGATAGCACATTGTAGCCAGTAGAGCCAAAGGAAAACACAAACCACTTCATCTGGTATAAGATGAAGTGGTTTGCTAACCGCCTCCCGGTTAGCGCAATTGATAGAGCGCTGGACTGATGTGCGGGAGGTCGAGGGTTCGAGCCCCGGCCGGACCAACACTCAAGGTCTTAAAATAATTGAGAAGAATATGCTGCCTTTCTTTAACATCAAGAAATGGTTTAGATATTCTAGTCTTCTCGGATAGGGACGAATAAGTGGAGGTCCCGTCTCCTGCAGGGTTAGGGGTAGGAGACGTTAATTTCCCACGCACGAGATTACTGTGTGATGGATGTCCTCCCCTGGGGTGGGATGGGTGGGTTGTTGTCTTGCGTTTACATGAGCCTCTGGCTCGGGCAATACGGGCAACTATGCCCCACGTAAAGACATTAAACTTGATTACAGGCTTTTCTCAGGGTATAAACTTTTGTTATCCACAATTCCTGCGATGAAGATAGGCGCTACCAGTATGCCGTAGATGAGTATGAATGTTATCAGCGTCCAAGCCGAGTGAACATGCGCAGCCATGGTTATCTTTCCTCGTTTGAGAGCAGGCCGGAGCTGACTCGTCGTCGAAGGGGAAGAATCAAAGACAGAATTTTCCGAAACGAGAACAGGACAAGAAGGACTATAAAAGCTGCGATGGCGATTTCTGTTACAATGTTAACAGCATTCCAGTGCTGAGTGGCAAGGAAACACATACCAGCGTGTGCAGTGTAATCGAAATGATGACGAAGCATGGCTGCGAAGAAAGGAATTGGAGAAGTCCAGGCGAAGCACAGCAGAATGTAGGTGTTCTTTCTTGATAAAGTGGGAAAACGCTTGCGATAAATCGCTTGGTATCTCTCGTACACCATGGCGCCGACACTGAGGCATGCTGCCTGGGCGAAGTATTCACCAAGTGTGGCATGCAAAGCGCAGAAAATTTAGCCGAAAATCCATTCACCAGATGCCAGTGAAACGAGAACAAAAGGTATTACTAGAAGGCAACTAGCGAGGTCTGCAAAGCTTAGGCTTGCTACGAAATGGTTCAACGCTGGGCGTATTACATCGACAACCAATACAGTGTAAATAACACGACCGTTTCAGAAGGTGCCAACCAGCATGAAAAGGAGAAGCGAGGCTGTCTTCAGACCAGTTGTGGTCAAACTGTCTTCTTGTTCCAACCGTGATCGAGTCCTGTTTTGCATATTTAGTGGTGTGAAACAATCACGACACAACGACTTCTTCTCTCAAGGGGCAGCCGTTTGCACGCACAGTAGTAGAAGCGAAACTCTGTTTTCAATGTTTTGTTGTAATAGTTTTGCTTCTAGTTTTCGTATGTTTTATGAAAGCCTCGTTCCGTTGGAAAGCTGTTTTCATTAAACGAGACTCCTCCAAAGTTTCCGTGGGGTTAGTTCGTAACACTCGCCCTTAATTGTCCATTCTCTTGTTTTCGTTCGGTTTAGTAAGGAATATCTTGCGCTGTCTTGTCCTTCGCTTGAATTTCGGTCTTCCCTTTTATTACACAACTCTCATGTTTAAACCAATTTCACTACGTACCCCTTAAAAGAATTAAAAGGTTACCTGTGCATTCGAAAATCTTCGGGAACTATGACACATAAATGGGAGAGTCGCATTACATTTAAACGTTCAAAAAATGTTTGAATGGTAATTGAGAACTGAATGACGTAAAGAAGCAATGAGTGAGTTCTATGCGGTACCGTATTTGGAAATTTTGGTGATTTGCGGTAGGAAATATTTGCCATCTTCTTTCTTTTTGGTATATGGTAGGAAAAGTCTTGGTAGATGGTTGAAAAAAAAAAAAAAAACAAGAAAACTTCGGTCAAGTTTTCTGCTGTTGTAGTCTCTTAAAGATGTAAACGATTTTATTAGAAGAGTGAGACTGACGTAAAAACCAGATTACTATAGGCCACAATGCGAGTCGCTCTTTCCTTCTGAATTACCATCTATATTTACGCATAGAATAAACATTTCTATGATTAAAACATGCGACATCTATGAGGGAAATGAACCTAAGCTTTCACTGAAATACAAGTTTGTGTTGCACTGCATCCTAGGCTGTGTTCTAAGAAAAATTGAAGGGTTCCCAGTGCCCTGAATCAAATCGAGGGTGACCAGCATATGCTTTGCGTGAAAATAGTAAGATTCCCGTGTCGCCCGACAGCAAAAGTAAGGCGCCAGGAGCCACTGGGCGCTGCTAGAGCACAGCCCTTGTATCGCAATTTCTTATGGCCTGGCCATAGTTTCAAATGCAGCACCCTCTCTTGCCTCTTGATACGGTTGAAATCCTCCAGAACAAACCGTGTAAAACTGTCTCCTCGAAACAGAGCAGTTACTAGTTTAGTGTACTGGTTCACTGGAATATTGTTGGTTTTCCTTTACCTTGTTCTGTGATTGTTGTGGATAAATCGCGCCACATTTTTTCAAGCAACCTGTACTAGGTCTCAAGTTAACAGGGGGGTGCAGAATATTCGCGAAATAAATTGACGCCGATGAACAATACCCATCATTTTATTTTGTCTGTCCATTAATCTTAGTAACTTGTGTTTTGTGTAGATTCTGATGACGAGTCATGTGTTGATGGAGGGTTGTTCTTAGCAGTTTGTCGGGGAAAAGTGAGCGAAGGACTCGACTTTGCTGATAATAATGCCAGAGCGGTAATTACGGTAAGAATACTTGATTAATTGCCCTTGAAAAGTTTTTGTAATGGACGAGAACAGAATATGGCCTTGACTGATTTCAGGAAACTTCCAGATGGAAAGTAGAATAACAATAGAGAATTTATTGACAGTTGTCTAATTGAAACTATTTACAATACTACAATCTTCGTACGACCGCTAAGTGTTCAGAAGCCTTCCTTTATCAAATTTAAGCCATACTTATATATTATCAGCATAATTACGCGGGAGGCTGGCCCCACGACGGATCACTCAGAGCGATACTACCCTTATTCAACGCCAAACCTTAAATAACGCAACATGTGCGAAGCTATAACTGCACCGTATTAATTATCACTATATCAGTTTCATCACTGCGGCCCCTTCGCAGATAGGTGCTGTGTCTTTTTATAAAGATGATTTTAGACTTGAAAATTTATTTTTGCATCTTTAACTTGGACGTTTAGCCGCGAATCGGCGAATAAACTGCTGATGTCCTTCCTAGAGTCTTTACACAGTTTGTGGTGGTATAGTTCTGGAAAGAAATGGCCTCAAACAAGGCCATTTGAACTGATCTAAATATAGAAAAGACAATTTTTTTCAGTCTCAGAGAAATTTAGAACAACTTTCTGAAATATTGGATGGATTCATCAACCAGTCAGTCAGGAAATCAATGATAAATCTAGCGTGAAATTTCAAACAAATTCATCCTCACAATTGGTTCAACAATTCGTTTTCTGTAACCTTTCGGTGAGAAATGGGAAGATTGCCTTGAAAATGCATGTATTTGTCTGCTACTGTCTCTTTCCTGTGGTACATTCAAATCTCATCTGGGAAGCTACAAGCCTTGCAACGATTCAGTGATTTTTCGCCCCTTTTCTTACTCCCCCCCCCCTCCCCTTTGAAAATGTTGATAACAAGGATTAGAAGTGGACTGCATGAGTTATCGCAAGTTTAAGATTTTTTTCATTAAAACTTGAAGAGGGTTCTAGTTCCTGAGGAACTTGTTTTCTTACGGAAAGGGCAGCTTTGAGCACATCTTCAATGTTCTTTTTGCTTTGGTTATTGATGTTCCACGAAATGATGTGTAACGTTGAGAGTTTGCAATTCGGGTGTTTCACTGCTTTGTACAAGTTTGGTAACGCCACAGCAGTAATTCGGTTGCTGGTCAGGTTAAGCGATGTAAGTTTACAGTGTTCACATTCAAGGGCTTCACAGAAGTAGTATACTCCTTGATTTGTTATTTTGTGGCCTGAAATGACTAAAGAGGTTAGCTGGCAGTTTGGATGTTTAAGTGTTTCACAGAGCTTCAGTATAAGCGCGTCAGTCCAAAACTCCTCAATGGCCAGCCTTAGGTGGGTCAATGAGCAGTTCACATGCTGGAGTGATTCGCAAAGTTGTGTTAATACATAATCAGTGAGCTGAAGTCCTCCAAGATTCAAATGGGTGAGTTTACAACTCTTCTCTCTCAATGACTGGCATAAAATAGCCAACGCTTCTGGAGTGATCGAGGTATTCAAAACAAGGTTCAACTTTTTGAGTTTGCAACTGTCCGTATTGATAGCTTCTACCAGTGCAATCAAGCCCTGATCGGCGATCTTGTTCTCGGGTATCACGAGTTTGACTGGACCTCCCTCTTTTAACAGCTTTGTAAGTTCTTTACAACCGCCATCTCCCAAGGAATTGATAGTCAGCTCGAGGACGTAGTTTAGTGGCTCGATGTGCTTTAAGAAGTAGACAATTGCTGTACAATCGACAGGCGTAACGTTACATTTCCATAACTGAATGAATCCGTGGAAATCCCGGTTCTGCTTTAGCATTGAAGCTGCTCTCTTCACTGTGACCTCGTCATTGTATTCGTACAAGCAGTTCATCATGAGTAATGCTTTCCTTCTCGACGGTCTGCTTGCCGACTTTGAAAGCAGGGAATCATGAAGACAAGACACAATGCTCTCGATAGCCTCCGTCTTTTGCCCATGGAGCAATCCTGCAATGAATTGAATGACCAGCTGCCACTTTGGATCCTCAGCATTAAAAGTGATAAAGATCTTCAGTTCAGCCGGATCCATCTTCGAAATTTCCCTTGCCGCGAGAAACTCTTGTAAGGTTAAATGGATGAAGCTGAAGCGCTGTTTGAATTCTACTGGTGACAACCTTATGTCAGGTAATTGGGTCAGCAAACCACAATTTGTCATTTCTGCGACTTCTTCCTTATCGAATATTAACCGTCCTTCCGCTATCCCTCTTCTTGCTAACGATCCGAGATCAGACAAAGTCTTTTCAACCGAATCTGAAAAGCTTTCATTTCCTCGAAATGGTTTATCTCGAAATTCAGGATGATGTGTGAAGACGAACAATCTTAGGGCTCCTTGATAAACGTCCGTCAGCCGTGTGGGTAAAATGACGCTTCCTACGTCAGGGGGAGATGGCTTTATTAACTCTTTCAGAAAGTAACAAAAAATACGGCAATTCACTGGAATGTAACATAAAGACAACAGGTGTAGGTTACCGCTGAGATGTTCCCATATTCTGGCTGCTGTGTGGCTGTCTCCTTGGCAGTATTTGTTCACGTATTTGTGAGCCTTCTCTTCCGTAAATCCCATAATTTCCACAGTGCTCTCAAAATATGAGATCTCGACGCTTTCCAGTGCTGTCGGCCTACAACTCGTCATCACTGTTACATCCGGGAGGAGTTTGCCTTGGAGTAACTTTACGAACAAGGCTGATACCGGCATTTCCTCGTTAGGGGAATTACCGAATTGTGCGGCTTCGTTCGCAGTACAGCTTCCCAGATCCTTAAATTCGTCTAAGCCATCAAATACAAGAAGGATTGCCTCGGGGTTGTCCAATAACTCTTGGAAAAGGCCATCGTCCACTTGTCCTTCCATTTAAGCTGCGCGATTCAACAATTGCCAAAGGGAAATCTTCTCTGTCGTTTCTGCATAGAATGATCGAAATTGGAACATAAAGGCGTACTTAAAACGCTCGGAAACATCACGGAAAAGTTCCCCTTTGCTCCAATCCCGAAGCAACTTTCGACAGAGCAGCGACTTCCCGATACCGGGGCGACCAACGATAAGAATTTTCCGGGGGTTGTCTGCATCTTCGTTAGCCAGGAAAAGCTCCCTCCGCGTCTTGATCTCAACAGATCCATTCTTACTTTCAGGCTTCAAGTAGAAGTCGTATATTAGATGCCTTTTGCATTCCCTTAGAAATTCGTCAGTTGCTCTTCCGGTGTAAATGATCACATCAAGGAATATGTCATCCAAAGTTACCCGCTCATTTGCGTGTTCTTTGCCGCAGTGAATGAGTGGCTCCAGAAATTCTGTCTCTTGTAGAATTCGCCTCTTCATGCATTGCCGAAATCCAGCTGGTGTCAGAGCTGTTACGCTTTGTTGAAAGAAGTAATTTGCGCAAAATTCTGAATCAGACGCGAATTTGCTTTTCCGAAATGCTTGCAACACGAGATAAACAATTTCCCCGAAGACTAGAAGTACAAGTATGACATTAACCACAAGGACCATCTGTGCGCACTTGCTCTTTTCAGACGCAACGGAGTTGTGACAATTTGTGGTTGGTTCGCTTTTTGACGAACCGCCTGTTGTGGTATTCGATGACTCCAAACCTTGGGATTAAATGCAGACGAATGGGACTTGAAATCCGCCAGAATAAAACACAAAGTTTTGCAACACCGTGAAAACGACCCCTAACAACAGTCTTACGACGAGATGAAGGAAATACATGTAAAAAACACGACGAGTTTCGATTCTCGGCCGTGGACGAGGGTTTTCTGCGTCTGGTTTTATCGCCGCTTGTAGCTTTTCCACGCGAGATTTCACGCAGCACCAACTGTAAACAAGGCAAACCACAATCACCGCAGCAAAATTTAACAGAACAAATACGTAAAGTGGCAACGGAGAATTGTAATGTTGCTCATACTTGTCAAAGCACTGCGCCTGAAGAAAGGATTTGTCGGCTTGTTGTGCGCCGCTGAAATCGCAAAGAAATGTTCGCCTCTCATTAAGTCTCAACTTGCTTGTGATCCCTACAAACACNGCACCGGTAACACTGGGAAGGAACAGAAAGAAGCATGCGAGGTATGAATGACACTTTATCTTCACGGGGGGACGGGAATTATGTTGATTGTCACCTGCCTCAAACGGAGCTCGTTTATTCCCGCAGTAAAATTGCCCGTCAGTGGTGCCCTGTTGTTTATAGCATAATTCGTATTATTTTAGAGACCTATCATATAATCACTGTTTCAAAAGCCTTGTTAATCCTAGTAAATTTCGAATTCAACCTTCGGTCGTGATTAAGTCATAGTAAGGTTAGATTTTCATCTTCATCTTGAGTACAATTTAGACCTGGAACCACGACGGTAAAGAAAATTTCATCATTTTGTTTCAGGAAATAAGTCATCCATTGTTATTATTAGTATTATTATTTCGATATTTTAGTAAAACCATTATTCACTATAATCACGAAAAGTATTTACAAAAATTATGATAAAAATTGGCCTGCTTCGTTTAATAATAATGATAGCAATTATTTACAATTTTAAACCATATATCTAATTATTTACAAATTTTTAAAAGAATCGATATTAATGTTCACGATAGAGGACTGATTACAATATATGAGAAAAGAAAAAATTTAGCATTGCTAAATAGGAAAAACTATTAAAATAATAAAGACCGAAAAATTATGAGTGCAGATATAGACCAGCTACAGCGAGGGTGAAGTCTTCTGCGACCTCGCGTTATTTAAACGGAACTCTGGAACCTCTTACGCATCTGTGTACAGTTCTTAATATGGCAAATGAAAGTTGTATTCGTAGCCAGGAAATGACGCTGGCATAGGGCTCATTATTCTTGTTCGAAAGCTTATTTGCGAGGGTTCTTAAAAAGTTCTGACAGTCAAGTCCCATGCCTCCGTTTATACCAAACACCAACGGTGTACATATTTTTTAATTTTTTCATTCTAAATAAGGAAAAACCAGAGGTAAAAGGTGGCAGCCAAATAGTATGTTGTGCTCGTTGTGGAAGCAGCCTTCTTTCAGGTGAGTCACTAGTGCTGTTGTGCAACAAAGTATGTTCTCAAGCATTCCTACCCGTATAGATAAGCCATATATTTGGTATAGTAGGTACGAATACTTTTTGTAACCGGTTGTCAACCCAGGCCGAGTTTCGTCTTGTGTTCTTGTTTAACATTTACACTCTTAAGATCAGTGTGTAAGTTCGGTATGCATATTCACTATACTGTTCTCTATAGATTTTCCTATGGTACTGACAAGGAGAATTTGTTTAACAATCAAGAGGATCTATAGTTATTGATCATTTCCTTATTCTCCTGACCTTACTGTGCGATTCAGGGGTGATAATGTAAGGAGAAATAAGATGCTGGTCACTCCTAGGGTTTAAGGGTTAAGGCACTTTACCCTTTTAGTGTCTTTCTCCACCTTGGGTATAAATGAGTACAAATGAGTATAAATGAGTACCGGGGGTTTGTCAGAGTAGCCTGCCTGATGAAATGCTCGGCGATACCCTGTGATGGACTTTTTATGCCTTCCAGGGAAAATAACATTACGGTTAGTTTTCATGCGGCGAAAACTAGAATGAGTTGCGACAGTGGGCCGTTAGGCTCGGAAACAGAGTTTACCATAATTGATTTTTGTCTACTGATCTTTTGATCCTTGTAGGCTGCGTCGTTGTTAGACCCTTTCCACAAAATATTCCGGAATTACTACGAAGTTCCTGCAGGACGTTGCATACCATCGATGACAAAAGCATCAATGTTATCGACAAGGGGGCTTCTGAAATTTTCAACCTGGGTTACCGGATAGATGCAAACAACGATAATTTTTCAGGTGATTAATAACGTATTCCTTTATTATCCAACTACACTCCGTAGAGTACAAATATCGCGCGGTATTTGTACTCCAGAGAACCAGTTAGACAGGTTTTCTCGCATCGCTCAAGCGAAGTTGAAGTTACGAAAAAATAAATGGCGGACAATTTGAATCATATTTCCGACGACGAAGAGTCGGAATGGCTGGCAAATTTAGATCCAAGTTTATTAGATGAATTGAACGAAGAAAAACAGTTAGACAATCAGGAAATTTCTTCATTTATTGAGGAAAACAGAAGCAGCAACACGACGACGCGCCAATTTCGTTCCGCTTCCCATACTTCTGTCGCGCACTCCCCGTAAATAAATATCCGCAAAATTCCGGCTCGCACTGAAATGATATTTCAAAATACGGCACAACTCGTAATAGTACCCAGCGATACTACACAAAACGTCTAGTAAGATATATTTATTTAAGTGCGATTAATTTGGTACGTTTGTTAACTCTTAACCTTGAACTCCGTAAGGAGTAAACATGTGACGCAGCAAGGGTTTTTAAGACGATTGGCCCTTAAATTTTTTTGTTTGTAATTTTGATTTCTGGTTTGTGTTCGTTTTGTTTTGTTTCTGCTCATTTTCGTAACGTGGGCGAAACACAGTGTGGTCAGTGGATGGGTGGATGCTCCCTGCACTTCTCACTTCAAGCGAAAACGACCGAGGGCCTATATTCCCCAGTACGGCTCGAGCCAACTAGTAAGGAAGTTGATATATGGCAATCGGACCAAACTTGCTGATTTTAAATTGCCTGGCTTTCGCGAACAAATGTATACGGCTTACGACCGTTTTCGTGGAAACGATCCTTAGGGTAAAAATAATGACCAAGTAAGAACCAATCAGAACACTGGAATTTACCTCAGGAATTCCTTGCCGTATTGTAAAGTTATCTTTTTATTTCGCGTAAAATTTGACAGTTTCTGACTAGTTTTCTACTATTTTGGTTGTAGGAGTGAATTCTGTTTTCGTGCCAGAAAGCGAGATCTGCTACATCCCTCAGGTATGCAAGGTCTGCCAGTCTACAATGGGTGACTCACACATCGTAGGCTTACAAGTGGTATCCTTCAGAACTTCCTCTGAAGAGGTAATGCAGCGTTTTTGTATTGTTCTTAATTCATGTCTTACGCGAGTCCAAATTCCCTTCTAATATGATGACTTCTTTACGGAGGGCCTCGTGGAAGATCAATATGAATTTAGGAAATTTGACTTTCTTTTCAAACCAATATAGGTTTTGCACTGCAGCCATGTTGGATGGCAGGAACAATAGATTATTTTACCCATGGGAAACAATTTTCTTTCTTATGCAAAATATTTTCATTGTCCCTGCCATCCAACATGGCTGCTGTGCAAAACCTCTATTGTGATGTTAGCCCTCGTTATTCGCCAACTGACACGTATCTGTGGTTCACTCTTACTTGACAGGTCTGGCTATTTCCTAGTATCGTTGTTAGTCGTCAACCATCGAGCCACCAGAACTAAAAAGACTTGCCTCACTTGCTTCTCTGGAACTCTACTCTGTTGTGTCACTGAAACGTGTAATGAATAAATGAGTTGATATCCTGTGATTACGACTTGACCATTCCATCAATCATTCACGTGGTTGCTTGTTGCATTAATAACTTTTTCTGTTTTGCTTGTTTGTGTTTTTGTTTTTACCTCAGCTTGGAAAATGTCGCCAAGGCGACTAGTGTCTTTTTGCGATTATGCGGTTATTTGGTTGTTACTGACTTGCTTTCCCTGCCCAGTCTCTTCCCAAAGGGTGACCAGCATCTAATATCTCCTCACTCTACCACTATCGAATCAAACATTAAGGTCATGAAAGTAAAGGAAATAATCACCATTTAAATGTGAAATGTACAGAGAACAGTATGGAGAGTAAGCATACTGAAGTTCGGACGTGAAAGGTCAACTGTAAGCTCTAAAGTATGTTCCATATGGCGCAACTTTTTGATAAATTTTAATTGTCAGTTAATTATTCGATCAATTCATCAATTGCAGTTAAAATTGTAAGTTTTGCAAGCAGTGCATGTGCACCCGTAACAAAGGGTATTTAAAAACATTTCAAGGATCTGACGGCTTTTCAATACATTCACTTTATTTTAGAGTGTATTTTATTAACTAATGGTGTATTATCTAGATCACTAATTGCAATTGTGTAATTTTAAGATGCATCACGAACGATACTCTTTTGATCATTATCTTGTGATAACCCGTGATTGTCGTTACCTTAATTTTTTCTTTTTGTCACATTGGTAACTCTAAGAAATAGCTCAATGTCCATTGCACATGCTCCAACGAAAACAACAAACCTTTGCTACTAAGCTTGTGTATGGTGTTATTGAACCTTACCCGTTTGAAAGGCAAGGTTTCAAATATATTTATGATTGAAAACTTTAATTGCCAGTTGGAAAACAGATTTACTCACGTAGCAAAAATCTTGATGAGTTTGGGGTATTGGATTGATGCTAATTTTTGAGCTATATCTTTTCAGACGGTTTTGCTGTCTGTATTGTGCCCTTTGCCTGTAGGCTCGATTACCAGCCGCTGTTGGGGAACAGGAGCCCGCGCTCCTCCCCGAACCCACGGCCGTCTCTTCTCGGAGAGCAACGAAAAAGGCCGGACTCGAGAGAGCGGCGGAAATCGAGCCTGCTTCACCTGTAGCACACTAAGAACAATCCCACAAACTGACAAACCATTGCCTTGCTCAGATACGAAAAGTCTAAGGGTCACGGGTATTTGGTCAATGCTAATTTTTTATTAATTTTGTACCTTTGCAGACACTTTTACAGTTTATGTTTGTCCCCTTTCAGTGATAGTACACTTAGAACAATCCTCATAGACTTGCATACCAGTCTTTGTGGGGCTTGGACCAAATGGATTGATTCAAAACACTTCTTTTTATTAATAATAATATTAACATATTTATGCAGGATGACCAATTCAGTTATAAAAAAACTGCTATCAACATGGGTCCTGCGGGGGGGGAAGCCACATACACAATCTAAGAACCTATATATGAAAAGAGATAGGAATACTAGAACTAGATTCCTAGATGATCATTGTCGGCCCCTTTATAAAAAAAAATGCTCTTTTGGTTGATTCTAATTTAACCCTGTCAATAATAATGTTACGGAGAATTCCCGCACGCGCTAGTCAAGTAATCTTGGACAGTATACTTTCACTTGATTAGGGCTTTATTTTCGACATTTCAACATTACACGTTCCGTTCTACGATCAACCCTATCTATTCTATTATGACTTAAGGTCACAAAAATCGCTACATTTATTAGCTAAGGAAATCTACAACCAGATACGTAATCCCGTGTGGGGATCAAGGCTTACTCGCGTCCTACAACGATTCGTGGGCATTAAGTTCCTTATCCTCTCAAAATACCTGATAAGATACATCATTGTTTTGATTATTCTATGCCGCAACGCTTTCTGTTACATTCTACTTTAACGGTAACGAAATCACAATTTACTGGAAAACAATAATATAATAAACGAGGAAGTTAATATTTTAAGCGTGTAAATGCTTCACGACAGATAGATGTTTGGTTTATTAAGACCTCTTGCAGTATAAATAAATGAATTACAGGTCCGGCCATCAAAGAATAATAAAACATTTACACAAGTATACATGTAAGAAAAAATTTTATTGCTTTAGCAACTAACAAGCATCTACCACAAAACTAGTCACGTGCAATGCACATAGCGTATTTGTATAAGATCAAGTTCTTAAACCTGACCGTTGAAGTGCCGCGGATATTTGAATTTCTAGGTCTTAGTGCGTAGTTACATTGAATATCTACTCAGGCGCGACTTGTACAACTTACGACTATAACTTATGACTTTACAGAGAAGAAATCATAACCAAGCTTATTGCCCTTCGACCATGAGGCTCAAGACATCCATCTTATCACTGGTAGATTAAATCAGTCTAAGCATACGCTTAACTTAAAAGGTTACATAGACAAATCGATATACTTTTCAGGGCTCTCTTTAAACTAGCTAGTAGTAGGCCTATGACGGGTTCTGGCTCATTTTTCCTGAATTTACGTCAAATTATCATGAATATACGTTAATTTAACACTTTCATGACCCGTTTTATGCTCTCTCGTTAAAATATCGTGAATTCACTATAATTTATCACTTTCGGGAGATTCTTTAAGTATGTTTATGGCGTTCACGTTAAAATATAGTGAATTCACGATATTTTAGCACTTTCCACCATCTCGATTTGCCAAATCACGTCAAATAATCGTGAATTCACTATATTTTTGCACTTTTCCCATCATCTATTTGTGGTATTCACGTTAAATCATCGTGAATGCACGATAAAACGACGGCGTGCCATTTGCCTTTAAGTGTGTTGTGTGACGGCTTTGTGGTGTCTGCGGTTTTATGCAAATTTTTATCAAACAGTCTAGACTTAGACTTAGAATTTTTACGAAAAAAAATACATCACAAAACAAAACAAAACTGACGGCCGCCAGAACCTCCCGAAGGAACTTAGTTTTTTACTTTGTGCAATGTTCCTCCGGGAGGTTTTTGCTTTTGTTATAAAAGATGTCTCACTTTTTTTTTATTTTAACTCTGAGCGCCCATCGTTTGAACTCTTTATTTTTACTAGGTTAGCGTCCTAGGCTTAACTCTGAGCGCCCATCGTTTGAACTCTTTATTTTTACTAGGTTAGCGTCCTAGGCTTAACTCTGAGCGCCCATCGTTTGATCTGTGGTTCACTCTTACTTGACAGGTCNTAAGCGTCTGCCGACGGGAGGGTTTAAATGGGTAGATGAGAAAGACTTTGAAAAATGGAAGAAATTCCCCTGCATTCTCGAAGTCGACCTGAAAGGCGTCAAAGAAGAGCTTCACGATCACTTCAACGAGTATGCACCCGCTCCTGAAAATCTGTTGATTGGGAAAGTGCATAAGCTGACCTGCACGTTAAACGAAAAGAAAAAGTACATCATTCATCACAAAGCGTTGAAGAAATACATGAGCCTTGGAATCGAGATCGGAAAGATTCATAGAATTATCAGGTTCGAAGAGAGTCCTTGGATGAGGAAGTACATCAATAAAAACACAAAATTGAGAGCAAAAGCAAAGAATGACTTTGAAAAAGACTTCTACAAGCTGATGAACAACGCTGTCTTTGGTAAAACCATGGAAAACATTCGAAAACGCGTTGACGTGAGACTTGTCACCAGAGAAGAGAAGGCAAAGAAGTTGACAAACAAGGTCAACTTCAAACATTGTACCATCTTCTCTGAAGATCTCAGCGCAATACACATGGGGAAGACACAAATTCTTTTCAATAAGCCTCTCTATCTCGGGATGAGCATCCTCGATATTAGTAAGACATTGATGTACGACTTTCACTACAACTACATCAAACCTAAGTACCCAGAGGGTAAATCAAAGCTTCTTTTCACAGACACTGATAGTCTTTGTTATGAGATTCAGACTGAAGATTTCTACAAAGATATAAGTGATGATGTAGACCGTTTGTTTGACACGAGCAACATTAAAAAGGGGCATCCTTCTGGGATACCGACCGGTGTGAACAAGAAGGTGATTGGAATGTTTAAGGATGAAAAAGGTGGAAGGATCATTGAAGAGTTTGTCGGTCTAAGGGCCAAGCTGTACAGCTACAAAATGTTTGGTGATGAAGAAGAAGTGAAGAAGTGTAAGGGAATGAAGGGAGGAGTGGTAGATCGTACCATCAACTTCGATGACTACAAGAGATGTTTATTTGGTGGTGGAAAACAACTACGAAAGATGAACACGCTTCGGAGCCGAAAGCATGAGATGTATATGGAAGAGATCAATAAGGTTGCACTATCCGCTGATGATGACAAGCGAATCATTTTACCGGACAAAATACACACACATGCGATAGGGCACCACAAAGCCGTCACACAACACACTTAAAGGCAAATGGCACGCCGTCGTTTTATCGTGCATTCACGATGATTTAACGTGAATACCACAAATAGATGATGGGAAAAGTGCAAAAATATAGTGAATTCACGATTATTTGACGTGATTTGGCAAATCGAGATGGTGGAAAGTGCTAAAATATCGTGAATTCACTATATTTTAACGTGAACGCCATAAACATACTTAAAGAATCTCCCGAAAGTGATAAATTATAGTGAATTCACGATATTTTAACGGGAGAGCATAAAACGGGTCATGAAAGTGTTAAATTAACGTATATTCATGATAATTTGACGTAAATTCAGGAAAAATGATCCAGAACCCGTCATAGGCCTACTACTCTAGCTATGCTAAATGTGATGTCCCTGTTTAAATATTGATTAAATAAATAGACCGAGGTTTTCCTTTTGGCCCTTGGTAGTTCTTCACAACATAAGAATTTCGGTGTCCTGCGTTAAAGTGAGAGTTTATATTGATTAATTAAAAACAGTTTGTTTCCATTTCAGTGTATTTACAAAATGAACCTAAACGGGGAGACTGAAAACTGACACTTCTCACTGAAAAGGTAAAGACGAGTTGAGTAACGTCTCTCCAGAAATGAAATTTGCTTTTCCAACAGAGAGAGACAAACGGTAGAATAAAATTGCAAGGAGAGAGGGAATAAGTTGATGGATACAAAGATGAAATGAAACATCACTCTTCACCTTTTTGCCCTAGAGAGTGACTAGCAATTAATTTCTTCCTACCTTATCTTCTCTCTTCAATTGAAGACAAGTTAGGAGCTTGGCCAAATCTCCACCTCGCTTACTCGCGTCCTCCCAGAACTGGTTCAGGTTTTCGTAGATTGCGTCCTGAGCAAGAAAAGACCTGATTCCAAGAGCAACAGTTCCAATAGCGGGAACACATGTTAAAGCTCCTCCCCAAGGACCGGAAGTTAAGACGGAAACAACACATAACACTGACGCACCAATACTGGCAAAAATGGCCCGGGTTTTGATTAATCGACTTTGGGTGATGTCGTTTAGTAGTTCCTCAATAAACTGCTCGAAGCGAGAATTCAGCACTTCCGTTGCTTTCACCATCTTCGGGTCCGATGTGTCACAGTCAATGCCATTTGGCTTTGAGAAGAATTGTAGCAGCCAGTCTGCCTTATCCTCTAACTCTTGGAACTTATGCCAATGTTGCTTCTGGCTTTTTTCCTCCAAGATCACAGTCTGTTCGTAATCTTGATAAGTCAAGTATAGTAGCCACAGAGACTCAACGAAACGACCTCCCTCTGGAGACTTTGCAACGTCAGGTGACCCTGTACTGATCACTATTTTTATCATTTCAAAGCTGTCGCGGAGCCATTGCCTATCCACTGAATATGGCTTATAATAGCTTTGTGATCCGCTGACTGTTGGAGTTACAACCAGCACAATTAAAATCAGTACTTGGAAGTAACGGTACTTCTGGTCGTCATAAGACATCCTCGCCATAGATAGTCGCTTGCAACAATGGCCAGTGAATAAACTCAGAAACAACTCAGTACTTGAGTAGCAGATGTGAAAAGATCTCCTTAGGACTATTAAACCAACGATTACACTGAAAACAGACAAGAAAAAACGAAACAAATTAAATGTTTTGTTACAAAAGACGAGTTTGGAGTTTATTTAAGTACTTACAAGTTTGTGAGGCTTCGTAACGAGAAAAACAACGAATAAAAGATTAACTGTTGATAATCTCTTGGTAATTAACAACAACAACTGAAAAGTAAAGCAGGAGCTTATGTGATCACGTGACAACTAATTCGACCCAGTGTCCCTGAACAGGATCAAAAAATAGTTAATGACAGCAGCAGCCGCTTGGGAGTCTTGAAGAAAAGACACGACCGTCGCTGATGGAAGCAGTTCTCACGCAACCGTAAAGCGATGGGGGACCCAGGTGCATCCACAACTCAATAGTGTGCACTGTAGTGTTCACCATTCGTTTTATACCTCCGACGCGGGAGGTTCCTAAGCACGAAAGAAGCGCAAGAGTTGCGCGAGGCGATAGCCGAGAGCGACTCTAGCTTCTTGACTTAGCAAACTTTCTAAGTGCATCCATAACTCAATTGTGTACACTGCAGCGTTTACCATTTGTTGCGTTCTTGTACCTCGAACGCAACCCCTAATTTGTGATGGGAGTTCCGTGCATTATTGGATGTCCTGTGCAACTTATAAGGGAGGTTTTTTTCGAGATTGCCTTGGTTCGTCGTCGTCGACACACATTTGCCTCGCTTTGAGGCGCTTGCTTACGTTTTGCCTCACTTTGACTAACTAACTCACGTGGTGATTTGCGTCCTCTGCGTTCATTCATCTCATCCTTCAAAAGAAAGTCTAAAAGATTGCCGAAGGTCTACTGAAGTCGGTAAGTAAAACACGCTCAGTAAAATTTTAGTTTGGATTAAGCATGGTTCGTCACTGTCTTTGGAAAATGTGTGCGACTCCTGGCGCCTGCATCAAACCGGGTTGTTTAGCTCGGCGGCCGTTGTCCCACAAAGTAAATCTACCGAGTTGTGTAGCTCGGTGGCAGTTGTGCCACAAAGTAAATCCCAAAGTAAATCTACCGAGATGTGAAGCTCGGCGTTGCCATTTCATCACGACTTGTGATATTTACGGAACCGGAAAAACACGTAGCGGCACTCAAGTCACTGAAATCAACAACCTAAACCAAAATACTGAAAAAGTTAAAGAGGGGAGTCGCATACACATTCCACTTAAGGCTTCGATAAATGATTCCCTTGCAAAAATGCTTTTTTCCAATTTAGAATGTTCATGTTCACTTCAGTTTAGTTCCAAAATGGTCACTATATTCTATTGAATGTTAGACGTGATTTCCTGTTAATTCAAAAATTAACTTTATTGTCCGCTAATTTCTCGCCAGCATATACATGTTCCTGTTCAAACACAATTTATTGTGTCCCAGCGTTCAGCACGAAAAAGTAGTGTTGGGTCTAATACTCAAGCTGTAAAGACTTGCAAGTAACAGTTTCATTTTATCGTAATTTTCAGTGATTGTTTACTTTTGAAATTCCCAATAAATAGAATTAATGATTACATCTAACAAGTTGTCAACTGTTTGCTTTTTAACAATACCTGACCCAGGTTTTTCAAAGCTGGGTTAAAATAGCCTAAAGTCAGTGCGAAATTTGAATTCACACTGCAAAGCTTAAATAGTAAATTCACTTTCATTCATTTTGTCAACAAGTTGATGATTGGATGCTCTTAAAAATTAACTGGAAAATTATCCGAAGAACTGCTATTAAAAATCCGGTTTATAAAAGCGCCAATCAGCCTTCAGCAACTTAGCTCTGTAAAACATCTGTTGCAGCAGTAAAACAAAAAGTTTTATTTACACGCCTGACACACTCTAGCCACTGTCTTCTCAAATTCAGGCACTTAAAACGAAGCATACAATATCACTACCGTTCACAACCTTTTCATAATGATGCACAGGTTAGGTAGAGGTTTCTCTGTATGCAACCGTTACGTTCAAATATTCAGTAACATTTCTCTATCGCGCGAACCATCCACCCTTCCCCCTCAACTGCTAGCTGTACCCCTACAAACATCGAACGCACTCGCCTAAGCTCCGATTACCCCTAGTTTTATAATATAACATCGATACATTGTAGCAAAAGAGTTTTCTTTTATTTAACGAATCTTACATGACTAGGAAAAACAAGCGCGCGCGGAAAACTACTCTTTGCATTTGCTCGCGTAAGCAGCTTACACACATAGGAAAATGGTGGAGGCTGAATTGACCAATCAGAACGCGCAATTTACTTTGGTTATGTTTTTACTCAATATGACAAACGACAGATGAAAATCTAACGTCATAGTGAATGATATAAACCCAACAGAATGTTATGACTTTTACTATTCATCGGGGCTGTTTGCCAGCAGATCTGACTTATTCTTGTTCACTACACAGTTAAGTGTAAGGACAGTTTCCAACCTTTGTTTGACGTTCGTTTACCGAGGAAGCCCCGAGTTTTTTGGTTTCTTAAGGTGATCGTTGACTCGTTATGTCAGAGAAAAAGATATGTTCGAGGTAACTAATTTACGAGAAAAATATCAAATAAGACTCTTTTTCCCGATGATATATATTTTTTAGAGTTTTTTGAAGCTGAACTTTTACAGCCACTACTTGAGAATGCCAAGGTTTCCTCTTGGTGAAAGTTGCAGACCCGTAAGTGCATTTACAGCCAAAAATACAATTTTTTAAAGCTCTACAGGCACTGAAAGGAGCTCGAGTTTGAATAAGTTTAACGTCTGAAATGAATCGTTTCCTTTAGACTCCATTCAGTTTATCAAATTCTGCTGACATGTTTGTAGGTTTATGCTCTTGATAACACCCAAGATTCATCAACGAAATTTTTTTGAACTTGTGGACCTTGTTTCGGTGATGGTTACTGACGTGGTATTAATGGTTTTCCGCCTGAACTTCTGCTACTGAGCTCATCGTTGTTTCAAACAGCGAGAATGTTGCTGACCAACAACGCGTTTTTTCAATCATAAACCCCTGATTGGCATGTTTTGAGTGAAAACTAATTGTGAGAGTTACAAAAAATGTGTTGAAATACCAAAACAGTGGAGGATAGAGCTTGCCCTTCAACAACAAACACTATACCTCGTCATAGTTTACACTGGAAGCTCACTAGAGCATCGCTCAAGCTACTTCAGAAGTGTACATCTAGATTTAAATTGCAGCTATTAACTGAAAATAAATTTGGATTATACTTGCCAAAAATTTAGACATATAAAATGGACATCTTTGAGCAGTTGGATTAGTTACATGTACCTAGTAGTTTGCAAGATAACTTTCATTATTTATTAAAATAAAATATCATTGTGTCATGAGTTTTAACAACCATTGACAGAACCAGTTGCTATTCATTACCCCCAGTTAGGAGATTGTTGTTCTCACCAATAGCCATCATACTTGGTGACTGGTTTCTTGACAAATTGCTCAGTAGAACTCATACTTAATACGCAAAGAAAACCATCACAGGAAACTACATGATGTACTGAGAAAATAGCATGCTTTGAAAGTTCAAGGTTAACCCTACATATCTGTAAAACATTTAGGTAAAGTTAAGGAAGGCAAAGTAACTTTCCCTTTGTTCTAAATTATGCCAGTTTCAAACTGGAGAAAATTAAATAAAGCACACTTCAATATCATCTTCAGGGTTTGAAAACATACTTACTGAATATGTCATTTGCACTGGAATAAAAAAGCAATCCAGTTGTTCAATATGCCTCCTTGGGTAAACAGTGCAAAAAAAAAATGAAAACATTTATTCACACAAGTTAGTGTGCAATAAAATATTGTTTGACTACTTTTGATGGTGAATGTCAAGGTGACACAAGAAGGAAAGCACCTCTACAATCCAGAGGAAGTGAAAAAGTTTGGCGAGTCTCAGACACCCTTGGACTGGAGGACAAAGTTACAACCAATAAGAATAGTTACTCTTCTTTCACATCCTGAGTTTCTTGAGAAATCACATCTGATCTATCACAACTTTCCTTCTTAAAAATTTAGTCAAAGAATCTATTATGGACATTCCTTTGTGAAACTCAAACTGAGAAAAACATGCAAAATTCATAATAAAATACTCCTTGAAAAAAAATTCATCAAATAATAAACCACTGGAAAGTGCAGATAATGGTCATGTACACACTGCTAAAGTAACTGATGAAATCATGTTTAGTTTCTATCTTCATTATACTGACCCAGTTAGAAGGAGGAATCGTTTAGTGAGGTATTATAGAGGTGGCATCCATATGCAATCCAATTTCAAAACTATTCTGTTGCTTTAAGGTGGCTCCCTAGAGTACTGTAATTATGAATAATCCTCCCTACAGAGCAAAAGTTACTATAATAGGAAACCTACTTCAGGTGGCTGAGCACAGTTTTTGCGCGCATTTTTGCTGACGAAAAGGATTGCAAAAAACAAACATGCCGTCGATAGAGCGGTTGTTTTATTTACTCAACACCTATCTGCACTATCAGTGCTATTTTTCTCTATAGTTGGCACAGTGTATTGAGGGCTTAAATCTTTTATTAAAAAGACATGTTAGAAAAGTTAACGGTACAAAGAACCCAGTAATTCTCAGCTTTTTCGTCATCACCGAGAGAACCCAGTTAAATGCAGCGCATGCGTAGTAAGTAAAAGAATTGCGATTGAATGGAAAATTGCTATCTCAGAAATATGCCTATTACTTGAGAACTACTCATTAGAATTTCACCAAATTTGGCACGAAAATACTTTAGAAAATAAGTAACTGGAGTATTGAAAAAAAATTGATTTTTAACAAAGGAAATTCTAGATAATCGAGTGAATCTTCAACAAGGGATAAATAAAGATCTCTCTGTTAAATTGATAGCAAAATAGTGTTAACTTGTCAGCATCATTACAAGCTCGTTGCATGCAAATTATAGAGAAAAACTAATGGCTAGATTTTCTACAAATTAACAAAAGCGATTTTAAAGGCCTTTTTATATTTATTCATGTCACCATCACAACAGCACATAGGTCAGCTTAACTATCAAAAAAACAAAGTCTGTGTTGTTAATTTGCTGCCACTTTTGGCGACCGAGAGATCAAGGGTTTTTAGAGAAGATGGTGGAAGAAACACAGGTATCAAAAACCATATTCAGCCACCTTAATTCATTTTATAGTATGGCCTCCACAGATTTACCAGAATGGGTAACAATACAATAAGGCTTATGTCTGGAGTGTCAATTTTCTTTTCAATGTCATTACCATGGCAAAATCATATCTTATGACAGACAGATATATTCTAACTGTTTACCCAAATACCTTTTTAATATTTGTACTTTCCTTTGGTGAAGTGTTTTCATTCTCTGCCACATGATGGAAATGATAATGTAATATTTTGAAATGGTGAAACCTCAAGGTCATTCAGACAGTTTGGCCAAAATTCCCTAGTTTCCCATACTAAGTAAATTTGACTTCCTCTGACAGATTATAACACAAAAAAGATATTTGATAAAAACTGTATGTGGTCATGACTGAGTCAATTTTCAAAAACATTTAGCAAAGGGAATGCCAGAGAATTTGAAGTCAATTCCACTGCTTTTGTCAGGTTGATGTCACAAAAATCTAGAAAACATGCATAGTTCAGGCTTCATGCTCAAGTCCCCACACAAACATACACACAGCTGCTAAAAACATATGTTCATTTACTTTCATGTACATGTTAGTAATCAAACCATTTTGAATCATCTAGGGCAACTGGTTTTAAAACTCTTTTGAACCTCCTTAGTTGGATTCTTTGTTTTCAGCTACTTGAGCTCATTGCCACTAGAATGTAAAAATCTGAACAAAACAAATGTACAACAAAGCTGTGAAAACCTAAGGTGAAACAAGAAAAAAATTCCTTTTTTCCTTTCAACTAGAACCACTACACTATTTCCCACAGTTGCAGATGGGAATTGCTGTGACCTAACAAGAAACACCAATCGTATTCATTAAATGATCACAAGTTATTTTAATGTGACACGGTGTTTTGTTCGCCTTTCATTATAAAACCAGAACCTATTACAAATTATGAAAATAGAAAATAAATACAAGGTTTTGCTACAAAACACATGTTGTGCTAGGCGAGGAGACAGGAGACAAAAGGCTATACTGAAACCGTCAACAGATTAAACAAACGTTGCACAGCAAAGCCTTGCGAAGTCATAAGACTGAACATAAATTCAAATCAAATCGAAATAGGGCCCAAATGAACCTAAATAATTAAATCGAGCGATAAAATAACAAAATACGCTCATCCTGGCGGCTGGACGCCTACAGGAAACTAAACGAAAGATACAAAAATGCAAAAACTAACAGAAATACAAGCGGACTGAAAATGATAAAACGAAAGAAAGCGATAAAAGCGAGTGTTATAAAGCGAAAACTACTAGTTTATGGCACAAGTGCACGATCACTGAGGAACCCGGAAGCACAAAATAATCCTTTAAAAAAGCCAGAAATCGAGTAAAAAACGAAGGTTACACAGAGAAAATAAAGCTGACTAAAGGATTGCTTAAAAATCAGAAAACGATGGCAAAACTTACCGCTATTTAACAGACCAAAAATTTCAAAATATCATCACGCCATAGACCTTGCTCATAGGGTGACGCAATATCAGAGGCGTCCGTCGAGGGTCGAACACACAAGTTTATAGTACAGCGGTTAAAATTGAAATTCGTCGTGTAAGCTGCGGCACGTGTTCCCCACGAAAAGTTCATACCCGAAGTGTGTAAAATCGCACTGAACAAAGGATGAAGATATACAAAAATGAATGAAAATGCACTTTCTTCCTAGTTACCTTGTGAGGTAAATATTTCGTACCTTAACACCACATGATTTAATGAGAATAGTGACTTCTGTATTGAAATTAAAAACTAAATGTCGCGTGTGGGTGCAGAGCGTGAGACAAATGAGAATTCCGTACTTGTACCCAACCTTCTGTTTTAAGTGCACCAGCTCGATGCAAGGCCAAGATAGAGAACACCCGCCCGTTTTGGCGTCAGCGACTTCACTACAAATATAATGACAGGCAACTAAAGGGTTACTTTATTCTCAAAGTGACTGCCGTTTTAAATTGAAGGAACAGCTTTTTTCACTTACGACTTAATAATTTTACACTTGTTATAAGCAGTGAAAGTAGACATTGCATGCCTATCATGTTCGCTCTTCTGTTGGCAGAACAGAGCAAGTCAATAAGTCATGTCTACAGTACTTAGTCGCTACCAGATAAATAGGGTCAATTTATTACAGCGAGAAACGCTTTCGTATATTTTATCAAACCGCAGTACACATATATGATTTTCATTTATTCAAATTTATTGGCGG